CTTGGTTTCAATAAGCACATATTTGTTTGCTTAACTTAATTTAAAAAAAAAATCGGGGATCAAAGTTACAATAGCTCAAGTTGTTAGAGCAGCGGCTCATTGAACGAGTTGAGTGAGGTTCGAATCCCGCTAATTTTTTATCTCAACCAAAAACCTTAGATGAAAAGAATAATTAATTGGAATAATTAATATGGCCAATTATGATCACTAAACAAATAAGGATTATTTTTTAAAAAATCAATAAAAATAAACATTCAAACAAATTGGGTGTGCTTTTATATTTTTTTTCATTTTTAATTCTAGGATTATCTTAAGAAATTAAACAATATATATTATCGTAAAGAAAGGAATTTTTTTAATCACTGCATTTCTAATTGATAAACAATCTATTACAGTTCATGTGGAATGTTCCGTATTTGTGATAACACCGTTGTATACGATAGATAATTTCTTTTGTTATTGGAGGTTTAAGGAAAATGAAAGGAAAATCAATGAAACTTTAATGATTTTTAGTTACGCATTCATTCCGTAGAGGATCGTGCTTATTTAACAATACTGCCAGGGGAGGGCATCTGTTTAAATAATAAATTAAAAAAGATAAGAGGTTCACTTTAAAGAGACCAAATCGCAAAACAATTAAATCAATGTAAATTAAAATCGAAATGCTTTCAAATCTTATCTTATTAATTAAAAAAAATATTACATCTTTTGGCCAAGTACAGAATGAATATAAATTTGTTACTTTTTTTGTTTCGTACCAAGATAATACTGCAAGTATTCTCACGATTTGCGCGTGATCACAAGATAACCGATAGATCTGCTTAAGAAATCCCCAGGGGGTGAGATAAGATAAAGAGAAAACCAGAGGTCAAAAAGGCAAACAAGCTTGATTTCGGGTTACTTATTCTGGCCAGTCTGTTTTGCAGACGTTTCATGACTTATCTCGTGAGAGAATCAGTTTAAAACATATTTATAACTGTGATGACAGTTCAAATTTGGCTGATGCTTTATATTTGTATCATAATTATTATGAATGACTCCTTAGTCATTTAATTATCCTAGATTCTTTTAGAACTACCACTTAGATTAGATATAGGAATATGACCAGTACTAGCTTGCCATTCTGTTTTTTATTCTATATTTTATTTTAAAATGTTTGTTTGATTTATTGACAGTTTTAACTGTGGTCTAAATGAATGATGAACCATCCTATTTAGTCATATGTATTTATTTAACTTAACATTTTATTTGATTAATAATTAAAACAGCATAACCAAAATTCATCCAGTGATATACGGACATGAGAGAGACACAAAGAGATTTATGAGGCCTCATGTTAAAACCGGTCCCAAAACCGAAAATGCTTATCTAAAGTCTATCAGTAAGGATGTGGTTATCGACCAGCAGTTTTTAATTCTATATGTAGATCAGGGATGTGGTCCAATGAACATGTTTTGTACATCTACATCTTTACTGCTTATCAAGGCCGTGTAGCAGTCTTATACCTCCACCATGCCATTCTACTTGGGCATACAAAACAATTTGGGAACTTACCATTGCTCTGAGAAATGTGAAATATATACGACGAAAGCTTGGCAAACTAATAAAAGTTGTGTTCATTTGACCACATCCCTGATCTACATCTAGTATTAGAAACTGCCGGACGATAAGTACATCGTTACTGATTGACTTTAGATAAGAGTTTTCGGTTTTGGAACCGGTTTTAACAATAGGCCACATAAATCTCTTATCTCTATCTTTCCATAGAAGTCAGAATAAAGAGACACAAACAAGAAGTATTGTTCGAAAGAGTGAGACGATTTTAATAAGATGCCTCCTTATAAATAAATTTAAAATAAAATATAAATACAGCTTTAACTAGAAATAACAGGGCATAAATAGCAGTTTAAACAAATCCCTGACCCCTCGTCAAATGGAACACAGCGGATCCATTAGAGGAGTAATTATCCTCGCCCTACTAAATATAATTGAAACTTAACAAACACTTTTAGGGACAAAACATACAATAATGTAGTTTTTTTTTTTTTTAAATTTGCCAGCAACCTGATCATCCTGATGTTCAATCGGCAGTAAAACAAACGATCGAGGTTGATCTACCGACCAACTAACACAGGTTGAGTTTTAAGAAAGTATGTATTACCGTCAAAGCTAATCCTTGAAAAAATTAACAATGAGAATACACGGTTATTCTGACATTTTGAACAAAGGGAACTGATAATTTTACCGAGAATGCCTGGAACTGCACAAATTGAACTACAAGCTAACAAAAAACAATTTTTTTAAATGAACTTTTAGATTTATATATTTGTCTTTCAACATCCCAGACCCTAAATTGATTTGAATCCCACATTACACAGTGTAAATCAATTATTATTCATACAATTACATTAGTTTTGCAAGTAATTCGAATTAATCAATATAACAACTTAATTATCACCTGGTATCGACTGAGTTTTAATATTTCAAACGGGTTAAAAATAAATATGAAACAATGAAATTAAATGCAACGACATTTTAAGAATATTGAGAAATTTATATTAAGAATAAAAGTTTTTCTATTAATACGATTATTTCAACTTGGCATTACTTAAAAAATTGATTCGACACCGAGAGGTTTGGTCACATGTGAAAAATAAATTTATATCGTTCTGGCCTATTCAATTTCCATAACTGTAAAATATCTTTTATCAAGATTTTTATTTATTTTTTCTGTGACGATAACTGACATCCTGTGTTCTAGAATAACAATCAAACACGATGCCATAACTTTTATTATGAACCTAAACCATTCCAATCATTTGATTGGAGCATGTTTTCTTTTTCTTACACATATTTTTACCAGTTGGCACGAAAGGTGTTCCAGGAAGAAAAAAGTCGGGTCGAATTTTCATAACAAATTGGAAATTCGCCGGTGTTTTTATTTTCAAAAAAACACATTTAGCCCGAGTGGGAACAATCGGCTTCTTTTTCCCTTTCATACCTGGACATCCTTTCTGCACAATTCACCTGGTCACACATCATTAAAACAGAAAATGCCCTTCGTGACACTATTTTCCAGTTGGCCAAAAGGGGACGAATATTTACTTTAACCTTTCGAGATACCTTTTCTCCCCATCGAGTTTGAAATAAACAACTTGATAAATGATATCTTGGCGAACACTTTTTTATAAGATAATAATCTTCTGAAAAGGGTAAAGAACTAATTATCGTGCAATTATAGACATGTCATTTTGGAGACACGAAATCAGACGACATGAAGAAGAACATACAAAAGTAACGAAAGCATCATGCAAAGGTTTCAAAAGTTAAAATTTTCATCCTATTGTGATTTAATGTTTAGAAATTTTTAATCAGTGTATTCCTACATATTAACGACCTGTATTGAAAGCGATTTGGTTTTGGGTTTATTTACTATTATAAATTGATCGTAGAATGCACAAGAGCATAAAAAATGCTTATTCCATGTTTACATATTTCAAATCAAGTTGATAACAAGTATTGTAATTTTAATAAAACTTTAAAATGTTGAACTCGGTTTTCTTCTTTTTCTTCCCTTTTAAACCTATGTATTGCTCTTTATTAACAAATTTCATATCATTTTTGAGTCTTATCATTATTTAAATTTGGTTAAACTACTTATGTCATTTTTCTCCGCAATAAATCAACTATTAAGTTCAATTTATAGCGCTTTGAAAACTGCAATTTTTCGCATAATGATGACCCTTGCCTGTGTTTCCTTTTGCAGGTGATTCAGTAAGAATAATCGGGAAAATTAAATATATTTAGTTTAATGACGCATAATGGATGAAAAAGATGAGTTAATACTGTAACTATCTGACCATTATAATAGTAAGTTCCCAAACTCTGGGCCAATTTTGCCTCGTACCTGTGTACATCGTGCGTAAAACTTTGGCCAATTTGCAAACGTTTATCATTTTCTTATACGTTTTTGCACAAAGTGAAAAATTACTAAATCCCAAACTGATATTTTAAACGGTAAGAGGAGACAGATTAAAAAAAAAAATCACTCAATAAATCATCAATCTATCCAAAAGTGAAAATATATTTCTATTCCATACTCAATTACTATACACAACTACTATTTTATACTCAATTAATTATACACAATTTTTTCGAAATGAAAAATTGTGTATAATTAATTGAGTATTTATATAATTAAGTAGAAGCTGATAAAATAATTTTTTCAAAATGAAAAATTGTGTATAATTAATTGAGTATTTATATAATTAAGTAGAAGCTGATAAAATAATTAAAAATTTAATATCGTGTTTTATTTAAAGTGTACAAATTACCACTTCAAGTGGTACATCTGTCGATATATATATATTTTTTTACTACTTTAGTCCATTTAGCTTCTATTCTAGCCATATATTTTATTTATTAAAGAATGCTCAAGGGTTAAGATAGCGAAGGTAAGATTTATAAGTGCTTTATTTAAGTTAATCGAACGAGAAAAAATTCAAGTATAGCCCTCGACTTTTCACTAAGTTTCTCGATCGATTTGGCTTTATTAAGCCGAAAAATCTGTAAGAAATCATGACAGGCGGAATGAAGTAATCAAGCATTTCAGCCTACGAACGCGTCTAAGTAAAATGACACATGTCTCAGCCGGCAATTGAAAATGGAAATTTGCCGGATGCTGGCATGAAAATTTTTTATTCTTGATTTTTTATTTAAATGCTAGCCTATTCTAGCATGTTAGTTGAACAGGGGGCATGCTCATATTTTGTTATATGTGCTTTTAAGTTTGAATGATTAGATCGAAACCAAGGAATGGTGAGATGAATCAATTATTTTATATTGATAGATAATTATTTGTATCAAACTATGTATTATAGTCAATCCGGTTTATCCTGATATAATATATAACCTAGTAGATCATACTACTTATGTAGTATTAAAAATTGCATAAATACATTAATAACTTAATATTCTATAGTTGCAGAAAAGTGACTTACTTGTTACTTGGTCGTTTTAAACTGCCTCTAGGAACAAATTCAGTTGCATCCAAATAGTGTCGTCAAATTGATACCAATCTTGACTCCTTAGGCCTTTTTCTTCAAATTGGGCAGGAATCGGGGGAAATATCGACACCTTCCACCTCGAACGACCAGCCGAGACTGAACCCAGAACCAGGAGACTCCGGTTGAGTTGGTCAAGAAAAATAAAGGGAGAGGGTCAATCGGAAGAGAGAGAAAGTATGTGAGAGGGGAGGCCAGTTTGGCCAACGTGACTATGATCATGATTCTATATTTACCAAAGGGATGTTTTTCAATATATAAGAACAATTTCCGATAGAAATATACAAGGTTAGATAAAAAGATAAAGCCGGGTTTAAAGTCCTGGGATAAAAGGGAGCTTCGACCTTCTCGCACGGTATTGATCTGTTATGGGGTCGGTGCGAATATGCTAAGATAATACTTCACGCCAAAAAAACTTCTCAAACTTTGACTGCACACTGCATATTTACTTAAAAAAATAAACAAATTAAAAAAAGAAGTCTATTCACTCTTGTCCATGACACATAGGCACATTTGGACAAGTAATAAAAATATTTTTCTCATCGACTTTTATCTATATTCTTGCAATTTCTACAATTATGTTTATATATAACACAAAATACCTTAAATCATACTCTAAGCAATTAAACATTTAATATCTTAATGCTCCTGATTGCCTCACGCTTATGACTCCAACTTCGTGGTTCGAGCTCATTCTCTCCACGCTGCTTTACATCGAACTATTGCATTATTTAATAGAACAAGCCGGTGGTTTACTATTAACAAGCTTGGCTTATTGACTGGGACAAGAAGAAGCTTTGAAATCCCCTTTTTTTGTTGATGTCGGATGGGAATTTGCACATTTTGGATAGCCTTCGTTTTGACTGTCACATAATTTCCCTTGCTGTTGCGTGTTTTGAACTCAAGAGACTGAAACCAGTTGTACGCCAATATAGGCTAGTGACGAGGTCAAAAGGGTCAAGTTCCCAAGAATGTTGGATCATAGTTTAAACGTTCCTTTAAGTTACAGCTTTAAGCTCAGTACACTTACAGTTCCTACATGCTATCCACTACAAACGATAAATACTGTCAATAACCACTTTGACAAGTTATAAACTCTTATACCATGTCATGACTACAGAACTAGGCACAAGGACAAATTCGCTCGACCCAAGCACCACACTACACTTTATGAGCACTTCATTCTATGCTCAGTGGCAAAAAATTTACAAAAAAAAACAATCAATACCTAAATCTAATTTATTTGCTAATAGCACAGTTCTTATCACAGTTTGGTTCTTTGTATAATTATTACTAAGATTAGGAACATAGAAAATAGACTTCATTCTAGAATTAAAACTAGGAACTTTAAAATTTTCATTAGATAATAAATAAGGGCAATCTAAACAGTTATTTAACAATTTATACAAAAATAAAAGATCTAACATATTTCGCCGTTTTTCTAGTGTCAATAGATTCATATATAACAAAATCGGTGTATAGCAATGAGGATCCCTAGGAATGTGAAATTTAAAGCTTACATATCTAAAAAACTTATTTTGTACTTGCTCTAATTTTTACACATCTTGAGCATATGCGTGGAGACCACAGAGTGGAACATATATACATAGTTTTTATAAATATTATAAATATATATCGTTAGTGGTCGTAATTGACTATTTTAATTATTCTGTATAGATGTGTATATATATATATATATGTAGGTGGCGAGTGAAGAAGATGCAGCGTCGATACCCCTAGCGTCGGAGAAAGGAAGAAAGGAGAACAAAGGAAAACGAGCATATGTAAGATATGTTGGACCGGCAAAGGGTCAATTTCTGGGTCTGTCTCTACTGCGGGTTTTTTGAGTTATTCAAACGCGTTTCGGCACTGCCCCACCAATAACCATTGATTGTCGAAACGCGTTTGAATAACTCAAAAACCAGCAAGTGGAGCACCCAGTAAGTGTCCCTGTGCCGGTTCAGCATAAGTTCACCGATTCGCAGACCAAAACCCATCATCAACTCGTGTACGAGTCGTTTGTTGAAGTAGTACATGATTGTATCTGAAGTTTTGATGTATTTTTATTATTCCGTTAATTAAAAAGTATTAAAACGGTCTCGTAGTAACTTTACTTCCACATATATGTATTTAACCAATTATGAAAGATGACGCTTTTATCTATGTAAAATGTGTTTTGCTTTTTGCCTATAAATAAAATTTTTTGATTTGAAATTCCGCAAAAAAAATCAGAGCTTTTGATAAATTTTGAGCTGACTTTTATGTAAAAATTAAAACAATGCCCAAAAATTTTACTTCTCTGTATCAATTACCAACAAATTGCTAAAACAAAATTTGATTACTTTTGTACAATATTACTTTGTGGATGAATTTCGCAGTCACTGTTCCTCACTTAACAATGAGGCCATTGAATTTACTATTTACGAACATTATTTTTCAAATTTATATACAGTGTACACGTGTAAGTGACAAATAGGAAAAATGACTAGGGCCATTATACATTTTGGAAGCGTAACATTACATTTAGCATATGTGTAACGACTCCGGAGAAAAAAATTAAAAACACTTGCACGGGGGAATTAATTAATTGAGAAAAAAATATATAAACTACTAGAATAATCAAATTCTGTTCTAGCGTTTTGAGAAGCGAGAAAATTACTAACATTTTTTTGGCAGTGAGCAGGAATTATTGTTCTATAAAACATCAATAAATTATTATTATCGTATTATATTTTTGTCCAATATCCCTCTGCTTTGGCATGTTTTCCCTTTAAACTGGTCAAAGGATTCGGTAAGAATTTAAATTATATGACACAACCTATTAGAATTGCTAAACAGCGCTTTGAAAACATATAATGTCGTAATAGAAATGTCGATTTTCTCTTAGATAGGATTTTTAAACATTTTATGCTAATTTGTTCCGTTTTTATTTTGTTATTTAATTGGTACTGTGTATAAAATTTAAAAGGAAATCAGAATGGAATTAAATAACAAACGTTTAGAATGATGCGTAAAATTTTGCCCAAATTTTTGACAGAAAGATAGGGATAAAACAGTACAATAATTTTGTTTACTGGTTTAAATATATTTTGTTTACTTTAATTTTAAAATCACCTATTTTTGCAATGACTGAGATGTTTAATTTCACCACTGGCATCGAGTACAAAACTCATTAAGCCACAATTTTCTCAAATCAGAAACACACTCGTCAAGGACGACTGTTATGTTGTAACATCGAATATGTTTGTCCTTCCTTATTGAGTTAATATGACTAACATTGCGAATTCATTGTACAAATAATGCCATTCAGAGGATTTTCATTGATACAAACAAAACTATTTCAACTTTAAAATGTCAGTGTCCAAACGTTCGCCGTCCTTTTAGCATCTTCTCAGGTAGATAACCTTTTTATGTTGAGAGCGTAATCAACCACGTTTGCTTTAAAACGAATAAAAGTTTGAAACATTATGCACCATTTTGAACATTATTTCTTGTCGACAGGAAAATAGAATTTAAAAAAATAAGTGTATTTCTGTGTTAACAATACTTAATACAAATTATTTTATATGCATAAATATATTTCCAAGGTTTCTAAAGGTTTGTTTAACAATGTTTATTTTTATGTAAAAGTTGATCCGAGACCCGGTAGTGTTAATGTGTGCATGAAATCATCGTTTAAAAGTTTTTGCTATGCCGACTTTGGCCTTGATAATCATGAAAGTCATGGCCGGACTTCGATGATCATTTACGAGCCTCGGCCGAAGAATACCAAGCGAAATCTTCAAAGGATTGCAAAAAGTTTAAGAAAGTTATCATCGTTTGATCACCACTTGGCAAGGAAGCTGTCTTTTCAATAGTTCTGCGACCCGGGTCAAAGATTAAAACGCAGCCAATTGCAACAATTTCCCATAGTTGACAACATATCTTCACAACGGATAAAACAAAAAGGGTGAAAAAACAATAGTAAATAAAATGGGTATAGTATTAAACAATCGAGGAGCTCAGCATATTCTAGCAATTAAGGAATAAATACGTTAAATTTGTTTTAAAGAGGATTTTACCAGCTCAAATAACTCTTTTATTTTTATTACTAAAATGACTTTTTAATAAAAATGCTTTCAAGTTAGGAAAATGAAACAAAAAATAACAATATATTTTTTTTTTCTGGGAAACATAATGGTGGTATGATACCATAGTAAAATAAAAATGTTATCTTTACACATGCTTTAATTGCATAAATTAAATTCATGTAAATCAAGAAAAAGGAACTAACAGTTAACTAATAAACTTTATTCTTTCCATCTCTGTACCACTCAGGATATAATACTCAACAATTAACGCCGCGGATAATTTATTTTCTCGTGAAATGTTTCGTAATCCTTCTGTAAAACCGTCCCATCCGGGTGAAACCATCATCCGCGTACAAAAAATGGATAATGAGCCTTTTTTTTTAAATTAAAAACAAAACAAAACCACGCTCAATGGGCTATTTGCCCGTAAATCTTAATAGTGCCGCTCGTTTTCCAAGAATCAAATTCTTCCATGTGAAGAACGTTTAATTTATCGGGACCGAATCTTCACTTCAGATTTGTTCTTAGAGAAAACCAATTATCGCGCAGAGGAACTTTCGAGGATTGGTAAATTTGGAAAAGGTGTCTATTAAGCAATCACCTCTAGTATGACGAAATTATTATTTTTTTAGCACTTTATGCTATCAGGCTTATCTTACGTTATAGCTATCTTTCAATTTATAAATTTTTTCAAAATTGGAAAAGTAATTACGAATTTATATCGACCATACGACGAAATATCCAACTATGATGTTATTTCAAGCCTGAATAAAATATAGATTTATAAGTAAAGTCTATGCACATTTTAATCTTCAGTTTAATTTTCGTTTGGAATAAATTAATTTTGTACATCATTTACTTCAAGACTAAGAATTGTTTGACTAATGCTGCAAAAATTTATATTTGTTGATACATATTACGAATTATTATGAACGATATCAAGAATTTTTTCATGCTCTCTTAATTACATTTTAAGAGTCAAACATCATTTACTATTTTTATGTAACGAGATTGCATAAATATTTTTTGTTTTAACCACTATATAAATATATTTACACAAAAAATACAATTAATGACAATAACCCATGTACTGGAGTTTGCTGAATCACTGATAAATTTACAAATTTACAAGAGAAAAAAAATCCTTTTTAAAAAGATAGTTCCTACCCTCAGTAAGTACATGTGTTCATACAAGTAAGTACTATCTTTCTAAAAAGGATTGAACACTGCACTCACTCCACAATTCATCATTTCTAGAGAAAAAAATGTTTAAAAGTAAAGTACAAAAATATAAAACAACTAGTTATGTAAATTAACAATAGACATAAACAAAAATATATTAAACTTGCATGAAGTTTGTAATACCAATGAAAAAGCAGATCTATCGGCTAAGGAAGCTGCCCAAGGCATCCACTACTGGTGGTCTATAACAGATATCCCTCAACCCTAATTAGATAAAATCAGTCCATTAAAATGTAGAATCTTGCATTAAGTAGGTCAATGAAAGAGTGGAAATAAGAAATCCCCACTATGAAGGTTCGCAACAGTGGGGTGTCTTTGAGAAAAAGCCCATTTGTATGTCGAGTTTGAGTTCCAGGCTGCGGGATTCGAACTCAGTACCTTTGCCTTACTGTGATGAGTGCCTTAACTCTTGCGACCACTGAAGCCCCCCCCACTCCAATAATATGTAATGAACTTAATCTTATTTTCAAATTTAAAAAAAGTATCTTTATTACATGTTATACTATTTGAGGAATGTAAAGAAATAATAAAATTAAATTGGGTTAAAGTGGGTTTGAATCCCGCTCGTGACACTTTTTCATTTGAGCCAAAACCTTATATAAAAAGATTAATTAATTGAAAGAAGTAATTTGGTCAATAGACCTCTAAATATAATGGATTTAATAAAATTAAACTTGCTTAATAATGAATTTTCAAATGAATTATAATACCTTCCATTACAATTTTATTTGATGCAATTAAATTTAAGTAGTATTAAAAAAACAAAGTTCCAATTGTGTTCATTTTATTAAGGAATAAAATTAAATACCAGCTACCAATATCAATCATTTGCATTCATAATTTCATTTTTAATCTGCTTTCCTTTATGTTGCATAGCGCGCACAGTCATGTGCATCCTGCGAGGATTCTTCAGTCATTTTTCAGCATAAAACCGTATACTATTAAAACCAGCCCAATATAATTAATTTGAATTTATCAAAAAAAATTGCACCAAATCAATGATTACACGTCACTGACAGCTTTGTTTAAACAATGGATGTTCGTCGCTCAATTATTTGTTCATGCCCACTCCACGTGAATTGGTAATCTAGATTCGTAATTTTCAAGTTGTTCATATTGCGTCAATTAATATTGTTATTCATATTGATGGCTGTATTATTTCTGATTACAGCGTATTTACAATGTCCACAGTATAGAGATTTTTGCACTAATTAAACATTAATTTAGATTAATTACTTTAAAATTGAAGTATTAAAATAAAATATTACATCCTTGCAATTTTATAGTAAATTTTGTTCTTCCAACATTTCAAATATTTTCTTAAAAAAATAACTACAAATATCTCTAAATAGATAAATGATAATTTTTTTTTTTTTTTAGTCATTGATTTATTGGGCATGTCATAAAATATCACAAACTCATGTTAATTTTGCAATAATTTTTGAATCAAAAACACAGAAGAAAGCATCCTTAAAAAAATAAATTCAATGAAGTAACTCACATAAAGGTGTTGCCATTACAACTTGTTGGTTCAGAAGTGAACAGTGAACCTCAAGGACCCTGAAAAAATTGTAGGTGCCTTCTAATAAATACATTTATTAGGCGAACATCTATAATAAATGTTGTATAGTTCCTTTATTAGTCTTTAACTTGAGCACTTCATAAAAAAGTGAAGCAAGAATTCCAATTAGATGATTTCACTTTCTAAAGAATAATAAGTATAGTCTATAGCATTTACAAAAGATAAGTCTTTCCATTTTTTTTTTTTCAAATTTAGGGAACAAACAATACATAAAAACAAAATCTACATTACGCCAGTGGCCAGTCTCTACCTATTAGACAGGTTCCTTTTGAGATATCTAATGTCCTTTCTCAGGCCAGTATTTCCAGGAAATATTGCCTAAAGTTTGGGATTACCAAGCAGATATACTAGACTAAACCCAATTTGCTTTACTCCATTTGCCGATTAGCTGAAAATAAGGACCTTTTTCATATTTTCTTTAATTGCTTAATTTATGAACCTTTCCGATATGCTTTCAAGGATTTTATTGAAGGGTAAAGCAACTGAGTAAATCTTCAGTTAAATTTTTGAAAAATACACATTTTATGTCAATAGCTTTACAAGTTAGGCCATTTACACTGAACAAAGCACCTATTTTATTATATATTACTTATAAGCTCTATTTTGCAAACGGGCGTACACATATACATGTATAGAACTGAGCCTACAACTTCATGCAGTCCGCTGGCAATTCCAACTTTTGTACTTTACAACTATCAGGCCTGGAGAAATACGCCAGGTGTTGGCAGTCAGGAGTCTGACCTATCTAAACCATACAGCACCAAGTTTGGGCTCTAGGGGTTATCAACAGCTAGATCATTTCAGCCCACAACGCAATCAGTTTCTAGATCCAAATTCACTCACACTCTCACTCTCTTCTAAATAAATTCTTTCCTATTTACATGACATTCACACAGATAACATGGTGGAGTACTTATATAACTAATCTAATAGGGGTTGATGGGGTACTTAATCATGATACTACACATTCACACTAATAAATACATTTTGGGAGTGGTTACTGTAATAATCTTGGCTCGTAGACTCCACAGTTGTGGGTTTGATTCCCAGTGTCGCCCCTGGCCCTTTTTTCGCAAAACCCTTCCACCTACCAAAAAATACATATACATACACATATCCTTGGATAATATGCTTTCATTAGTTCATAAGGCCATAACATTCACACAAAAAACACAATACAAGATATATATAAAATATTATGTACAGTAAAAAAGCTGTTTCCCCTAAAAATTGGAGCAGGGGTTCCAGATACTCGCTTCAGTGCTCAAGCACATTTCTCATATTGGGTGGCTTCCTATATATTATATAGAATTCCTTCCTATTCCTACCTCCACATATTGAACCAAGGGATGGAACTATTTTTAAGTGGCACACATCGAGCAACCTCTACATGCTAAACACATATGTAAGCTTTGGTCCAAAAGTAAGTGTCCATGTATCAACATCACATGGCCTATTCTTAATCGGGTATAATTATATTGATTCTGATAGTTATGTATATTATATGTAAGTAATTACTAATTATTTTAAATAATTCTAAGTTTGAGCTGTTATTTTTAGTTATAAATGGTTCATTTAAAATGTCAGACCCCCTGCATGGTTAAATTCACAATGTTAAGCAGGGATGTAACAAATAAAATAATTACAATTAATTAAGGTTTTTAGTTGAGATAAAAAAGTCAATGGCACGAGCGGGATTCGAACCCACGTTCTTCGGCTAGATACGCCACTGCTCTACCACTTGAGCTATCATGACCTCGATCCACTCGGACACTAACTTCCCAAATAAAATAATATTTAATTGATGAATAAAAATGAATTAATAAATAAACAGTTTTTTATTATTAAACTTTTTGAAAATTATTGTTATAAAATTGTTGATTCTATTCTCAATTTTTGCAATTTAGAAAAAAATTGTATTTACAAGGTATGTAAATAATGACAGCAGGTATTAGTAGCAAATATATAAAATAAAAAAATTATTGAGATTTTGAAGTTTTGAGTTCTTCTTCTTTGACTTTTTCTTCCTGTTCTTTAGCCACTTTTTCAAAAGTATGCTTAATTTTATTAGAATAATCATCAATCCATTTGAGGGAATTGACATTAGCATTTAGAATCCTGCCGATTTGAAGAATGGGGTCATTGGGGTTGTAGCCGCCCATCACATTCTCATTGATCGTCTCAATCACCTCTTTGAGATCTTCGCTTAGCCGTTTCATGTTGGTGTCGATCGACTCTGCAAGCTCGTACAACTGCCTCCTTTGGTCCTCGTTCCTGTTCGTCTGCAGCCTGTTCGGGTCGCTCTCCATCGAGACGACCACCTTCTCCAGCTCAGCCTGTTGAGACTTGATAAAGTCCAGATCGCAGATTATTTGCTTTTGACATATCATGACATTCTTTATCGTCTGACACATGGCGTTGAGGGAATTGCCGTTTTTCTTTATTATCTTGTCCCATTCGTTAATCTGTGTGGCTTTGTTAATAAAGTCTTTTTCCTGATCCATCAAATCCAGGGTCCACTTGTTGACATTGTTTTCGAACTGTTTTAAAACAGCTTCTGATATATTTTCCTCTGTTGATTTATTCATTGTACCTTCGCTTTTGGTATTTATATGAAAAATCCGCCTCGATTCGAAAAAAACTACACAATTTTTTATTACACAACGCGAGCAATTTACATTATATAATGATAAAATCTAAATAATATTTACCATAAATAATGTTAAGGCCAATAACTTGTATAAAATAAAAACAAACCTCAGCACTAAAACATAAGTATAAGAACCATGCTTGGGGAAACAAACTGAAGGTAAAAGTAACCTTATTGTTGTTATAAGCTTCAACGAACTGCTATATTTTCATACAAGAAAATTTCTTTATTTACAATCAATATTCTTTTCATTAAAAAATAAAACCGTAAGTATTTCAGCAATTCAGTCTTTACTAATCATATATATTGCCATTAATACCTCTATGTTCATTATAAAACATCACTGCCGGTTATATGCTCGGAAGCATATGACAACAGGCCAACAAAAATGGGATAGGCAGATAAAAGATGATCTATCACAACCAAAATACTATTTTTCAAACATAATCTTGGATCTGTAGCAATAAAAAAAATATGAGTGATAAATAATTATGTATTTTTCGATAGAAATTAACAACAGACTTAAAATTTAAATATTATATTTAAGAACAAGACAGTTTTTGTTGTTTTAATCATAGTACTATATTCCAGGTAACCAGAAAAGTTGCGGTTTTTCGTTTGCTCTTTTTTGTCTTCTTAAAGGGGCATCTGACAGCTTTTACAATACATTCAATATGCATTCACACCAATAAAAACATTCACACCTACATACATTCCATTCTTCTATTTGGTAGATGGAGTACTCATTATTCCTCCATCCATCTGCATACAATAACAAAATAATCTAATTGGGGTCGATGGGGTACTTTTATAAATATTCCGCCATCGACCCATGTCATGTACACAGCTTGAGAGGCAATGGGGATGCTATTCCACCATCAGCCCCTCCCCATTCACTCTAATAAATACACTCACTCATACAAAACAGAAACACAAAACAAATGATGAAGAAGTAAAAAATTATATTATACAATAAAAAAAGTGATACCTGAAACTCGCTACCATGTCCAAGAACTATTTTTAAATCCAATGGCATGCCTGCATGCTCTCTGTATGGAGCCAAGGCATGAGTCGCTTCTATTATGTGGGGCACATCGAGCAACCTTTCTCTGCATAAGGGGCACCTGTGCGGGCTTTGGCCCAAAAGCACGTTCCCGTGTGGCCAACCTGTCGGGTGAGGACGATCCCTCATCTCCTGCTCAGGTTCATTCATTTGCTAATGTTTTAATATCATTAATCACCATTTCTAATTGTATAGGAGGATTAGGTGTTTACATCATATAATATTGACATATTTTCGTGTACCATTTAGTTGTGTTGAAAAGTTCAACTCAGCAGTGAAAAATTCATTTAACGAAGGTTTAAGAGCACTTGGGAAGTTAGAGACGACTTAATAAAGGGTAGATCGCGTTCATTAGAAACTAAAAAGAAGCTATTTGAATCTATTGTTGCTGCTTCATCTGTGTATTCTGAGGAATTGTGGTCACTTGGCTATTTTATTGAATTGGACAAATTACGAGTACAGTGTTTTAAGCAACTTCACTATTTGCTCACAACTACACCTATGAAGCTTGAACCATGCAGTTGCTAAATATATATAGGCTGTTTAATACTAAAGAAATAAAATTGTTTCACAATGCGCTCAAATATTCACATTCAATCAATATGCTCTGTCTGTAATCTGTTTGAAGAGGAGAACTTGGAATATGTTTTTTTTTTTAATTGTCTAATTTACAAAGCCCAAAGATCATTTTATTTAAAGAAATGCATTGATACTTGTGTAATAATAACAATTCAGACAAACTTGAGTTCTTGTTCAAATTTGAAGCAGGAAACCAGTTCAATAGATGTGTTTAATTTTATTTATGAAGCAGTAAAATTGAGGGCTTTCATTGTCAATGAATGATATTTTCATATGAATGAATATAGTTTTGCATCATGTAATTATTTATTTTAAGTTTAGTTCCACATATGTAGGTTCTTTGTTTTATTTAGCATGACTTCCACCTTCATATCGATTTTAGGACCTGTCTCGGGTGTTCTAGTCTGGAACTTAAATTCATACAATAAGCACACACGAATTATCACTTTTGAAGTCATGAGAAAGAAAATATTTTATAATTTCCAGTGAACTGTTGGAGACACTTTTTCTTTATGAACTGACACATAATCACCCAACCTAACTTATCCTCCAATGTAAATAGAAATGTTGATTAATAACTTACTGTATTAAAACAATAACAAATGAAAAACCCTATCCGTTTATGGTTATCTGGTAGATTTAAAAAAAAATTATAATTGTAATAATTTTTTCTGTCTGTCTAGAAACAATGTTTTCGTTGGTGTTACAAAGGAGTGTTTCATCAAATGTCGGTGAGTTTGTTTTCAACCGGAACCCAAGAAGTCTTGAAAAACTGCGCATAGCTTTTAAACCCAAGGGTTGGCACCTGGAAAAACCTGGAAAATCATTTTGGCACAAGCTTACTTTTGAGAGGACTAGTAGGCACCTGACTTCGAGACTGGTTCACTTCAAGAATGGCACTGTTTTAACAGCTTCGACTAAAGAGTGGGCCATACGGAAGTTCCTCTACTCGACTGTCGATAAGTCGGCATACATGAACCTCGGCAGAGTCATGTCACAGCGATGCTTACAGTGCGGGATAACTGAAATGATCAACGACAATTTGGAGGTCAAAAGTGACAATTTGAAATTGTTTTATGAAGAAATGGAAAAAAATGGGATCTCTTTCCAGGAACCTGATGCCTACGTTAATCCGAGACCTTCTGATATCGAGAGACCTGAAAAATCATGGGAAATACACATATAATTTTTCCCCTTGCTAGTGTGTAAATACTTAAAAATTACTTTTTAAATAAATAAATTAGGTTTTTTGTTTTGTTTTTCTAGTTGTGTTATTCATCACCTTGTAAATAATATACTATGGTTTGTATTGAAGTTTCAAGCTTTCGATAAACCATAAAAGCATTACAATATATAATAACATATGTATAAGGCACTCCAGGCTGACACATGGGCATCTTTTCGGCAAAGAAAATGCACTTTATGCAGAGCACAAGTATCTGTAAAATATATTTACAGAGTATAAGAAATTAACGTTGCAAAAAAAATAAGTTGTGACCTGCCTCTAGACTTTAAACAACTTTTAAAGCAAGAAATTGATTCTATACCTGAAACAAACGTTTGGTCGCATAAATGGAGCTCTTTCACACATTGGTTAGAAAATATCCTTAATTTGAGCAAATGAATTTGTTAACATGAATGTTATAGTATGTTTGTGATGGAACATCAAGTACCCATAAACACACCAAAGTAGTCTAGGTATTTAGTTGTACATAAGTAGTCACTGCCATAATATCAAAAAGACAAAAACTCTGGTGACTACCATTTGTGTGAATGTATTTATTTGCATGAATGGTTGAGTATGTACTGTAGGAAAATAGAGAAAGGATACAATTTGAAAACAAAAAAATTTATTGACGCAGTGAAAATCAAATGAAGGTATGAGGTCTGGTCGGGATAAATCTTCAAGACAGAATGACCAGTTCTGTTCCTAAGCTTGCTTGTTTCTTTCGCTTTCATTGTCATACCAGCTATGCTGCCGACACAATCGCTAAGTCAGAATGATAATGATGACATTCGGACAAGTATATGTGGAAAATTGAATACACACAGACCTTTCGAACAATTAGGTTAACTTAGGATAGTGAATGCATGATTTTTACTGTGTAAGAATTGTTGTGAATTAAGGTGGAATTGTCGTGGGTTCAAGGTGAAAAACGCCTTGCCGGCACCCCAACTTACATGTAGGTTGTATATAATTTTAGTGTAGTTAAGGGGTGGGGGTCTCAGATTAGGTAAGACTAGTTAACAATGTCATCTGCATAGCCTTGTATATATTTATATTGAAATATAAATTTTTAATTTTTTTAAAAAGTTTTAAATTGATCAAATAAATTTGATCATGACACAAAAGCCAAAATATAAAAATAAAGTCATTAGTAGCATGAATTTTCATAAAAATGAAGAGTGGGTTAAGATAAAAAGTTATTCATTTTCATTTTTTTTAATATTTGTAAATGTAATAATCTCAATAACAACAAAAATGATATAAATAGTACATGATTGGGGTGTTTGTGACTGCAATGGTTTAAGCGTTGAGCTCATCACTGAAAGGTAAAAAAGGTCCCAGGTTCAAATCCAGTGGCCCTGCATTTGAGCCCAACATACGTTACAAATAGGCTTTTTTTTCCAAAAACATCAACATACAAGTACATGACACTTCACAGTATATATTTATACTTAAGGCTGGAAGAATAAATAATTTTTTTTTCAACTTCAAATTTATCAACTTTTTTCTTTACAACATAGTGTACATACAACAATGATAACATTTAATGTTAATTATAAAACTGTTTTCGAATTATTCATACAGTCCTAATTATATATAGTTCAACATTGTTTTGTTTTTCTAATATCAGATTCAAAATAATAAATGCAAACAAGATATATTAGTACATCTTGAGCTTTGATGAACAAAAAATAAGCTTATAAAAGGGATAATTATGTGACACTACACTACATATATAATAGTTTAGGATATTTTTCTAGTTTTCTAAAATTGTAGTGATTTCTAGGAAACATTTGTAAATTGTTTTAGTTTGTTTCTCTCGAATTTTATTTCTATTACCATAAAAACATTGAGGTTACTATCATTATCGCATTGATATGATTATTGTAAGCAGATATGTTTTCTAGATTTATTTTTTTTTTTGGGAGACTGCCCTTCATTTTTAATATCATTCATTTTACTTTTGCCAAGAAAAGTAGTTGGTGTCTGATATTTCATTGTGGAAAACTTTTCAGTTTTCAACAATACCACGTCTTTGGTTCGTCCTCAAATTCCTGATGTCAAGATTCTCTATAATTTCTGAAAAATATAAAGTCAATTAAAGAATTATTTCAATTATAATATTAAATTTACATTCTCTTGATGGCAGAGTTATACGGTGGTGGGCTAGGTCTGCAGTTATCTTTTTTGTCGATTCTTTGCCTGAAATAAAAATTATTGTTGATAATGTCATCATATTTTGACTAACTTAAAGGAATACCTCGGGCTATCTTCTGACTTGAAACCAGACGATCGTAAACTGGTCGTTGCCCTTTGTACAGCCTCGTATTGCATGAGTGTAACATCGTCTTCTACACTTTGTTTATCGCTGAAAAACAGTTTTTCGTATTAGAGACAATATTGTTCATATAATCTACAACCCATCGGAGAATTTTTGTTTAAACCATGAGAAAACTACACTCTATTCAAAAAAATAAACACACACTCAATTTTAAACCATTTTATTATAACACACTCTTGGTTTATAATATAAAAGAAAAATATATAAAAGTGGTTATTGTTAGACAAATCAAAACCCATGTTCTATAGGCATTGTTGAATATATATGGTACAACTATATCGCATTATAAAATTTACTCATAAAACCAAAGAAAACCATGTTAGTCACGAGCTCTGAACTCATTACCTCCAGTAATTTTCACAAATTGAAAAAACAGACTCAAAGAAATCATCTGATTTATCATCAGTGCTGCAAATGGTCAAGTTTAGAAAAAAAATGTTTAAATGATAAAAAATATATTATGTCTATCAATCTATTGATATGTATACGCACACTTACACTTTGTCATAATGGAAACACAATACAAAGCTGAGCAGGACGATGAATAGGAAAAGTGAGAGAAACGGGATGACCAGTACCGTAAGCATTTCTCTTGCGAAATGCCTCCTTGGAAGACTCTCCCTTCTCACAAGATTCCAGCTCACATTGTCTGAAACTCGTTCTGGCTCATGGTACTGAGCATTGTCGGTGAAACTGTCATCACTCTTCTCCTGCAATATGTACTATTATTAACATAAATTAAATCTTAAGGGTAATTTAGTAGTGTAGGTAAGCTAAAATGTGCTGGCTACAGTAAAACAAATTAATTTACATGATAATCTATAAATACAAACAAACCAGACGGAAGAAACACCAGTCAATTAGGAAGTTCTTAGGCCTGAAGCGGCGGTCAACTGTCGACCTTTTAAAGTCCCTAGGGCATGAAGTGAACTTGTAAAGAGGTTTCACTTCGTCTTGGAGATCTAAAAGGACCTGTGAATATTTTGAAGTACTTCCCAGATGCACAACAACTCTAAAAAAAAACCAAAAACAATTTTATAAAATAGACTTTTTTAAAATAATTTTATCATTTAATTACCCTTCTCCATCATTTGGATGCAATGGCAGTCTCCCTCCCATCTCCAGAGCAGAAGCAATTAAAGTCATCTGCAGGTCTGACTTGCTCTCAGTCCAAAGTTCATCCGTGAAGATTTTCAGCAAGTCGTTCAACCTGTCCTTGTCAAACAAGTCTTCTAAGTTGAGATTATCTATTTTGAGCACGACGAAGAACTTTGCAGGATCTGAATCAGAATTGTATTAAAGGATTTTTAGAAAGTTGAGTAAAGTAAAATAATTCTTGTTATACAGGAGATTTTAACATCCAACTACCTGTTGGGTGTCATGGATGAAGGGACAAACCACTTTACAATATATTTTGCAGTAAAAATAATTTGAGGTGGGGTGAATATATCAATTCACTTTTTGGAAAAGATAGTTCTATTTGTAGTCTGTTTTAAGCAGCTATCTGGATTTTGAGTATTAAAGTCAACAGGCTGAAGATTATAAACACTTTTCTCAATATCCAACATCCTACAATTTGCATTAAGAACTTATCTTTTCCAAAATGTTAAAACTACATTTTGTATACTATAATAAATTAAAAGCTCTGCCAGGCTTCAAAGCCAGAACCACTAGTGTGGCAAATACAAACTCATAAGTTGACTGTTTTCTGTATTACCTGAATTTTCTCTAATGTTAATGTTTATGATTTTCCTCCTGGTCTCATAGTTGTCTTTCCTCAGGCCAACGAGCTCCAGCTAATTTAAAAATGTTTCTGTTACCATTGTTGTTGTGTCATTAGAAACTATTAAAAAAATATGAACACAAAAACCTTGACATCTTCAGTATGTGCAGGTGGAACACCGTATAGATAACCAATCGGTAAATTTTTACTGGATAAATAATTCATCCAATTTGGTAAATCCGGTGAGTTGGCAAGGGATGCTCGGAACCAATACCCAAATTTTGTGCCTAAAATGTAAAAAATGCTGAATTTATTCTCCACTTGCAGGGGTTATCGTTAGCCTAAACCGGAACAACTTTAGTGTCGTCCGTGTTTAGCCTACCTTCCCCCCTCGTTTAATAAAACATTATTCGATGGAACTGCAATCGTTATTAATCGGAATTGTTCCAACATACCCTCTGTGGTCCAGTTGAATATTTCCGGACCTATCTGCATCACGAACACCTTCCTCGTCCACAAATCCGCACATCGTGCGGTCCCGAATGTGAAAAGGGCTAAAATCGAAAATCCCACCAGAGTGATAGTCTGTAAATTTATAAATATTGAGTATTTTAATAAAGTCATTTAAACATAAAATTACTCTCTAGCCCACCATTATTTAAGGGCGAATATGGAAATAGGAACTAAGGAGGTTACAACATTGTCTCCATACAGAAATAAAACTTTTTTATTACTCTAATTAAAAGAAGAAAACGGAACAATGCATTTGAATCTTATTTAAATCGACAAAATATTTAAAAGTTACTGTATTTTTTAATCTAGTTTTGTATTCAATAATTTTTACGTTTTACTTAAACGTCTTCCTAGAATTTCAAAAGAAACTTATTTCATTGCAACAAACAGTTTTTTCTTTATACATAGAGATGCTGCAGTTAAAATAACAATTACATTCGTAAATAAAAGTCCGCTTATACATTTTTAACATAATTAGCTATGATTTTTCCCATATACTATATAAAAATATTTTTATAAGACAGAGGTCTTATCATCAAAAGAGACTGGTTGTTTTTCTGGTGATAACTGACCTTTAAGAAATTAAGTACTTGAATTTAAAGCTCATTAGTAGGGGCAAATTTTCCGTAAACGTCATATTTATCAATATTTACAGGGCCAGTAAAATTTACTTAAACGTAAAGGTTTACGTTTATTTAATTGTTCATGTGGACCACGAAAACTAGTGAATTTAATAAATGGTTACGTTCTGATTTTATACTTTGATTGCTTAATGTTACAATTTAAAAAAAGAATCTTATAGGATTGTTAATATTTTATTAACGTAATCAGATTTACAGTAGAATTAATATTTCATGAGATACCGGGGTTTCATGGGAAAAAGTTTTGAAAGGTAGAACTAACACAAAAAGTGAAATATCTCTAATACTATTGAGAATCAGACAATATATTGGGTTGTCCGGAAAATAATGCAGGATTTTAAGTTTTCATTAAAAAAAATCTATATAAAATATTCTGTTTACGTTTACAGGATTACTCATTTNATTTTGATTAAAGAACATTGCTTTAAAGTAACTAGTTTCTTTTTTTTTGTTTAATACCAAAATCCTGCATTATTTTCCGGACAACCCAATATAATAGGGAATTTTTAGTCCGATTTGATAAGTAGAATAACCTTCTGAAGTATTGACGTCTGTTCACGGGACACCCTGTATATATGTCTATTATAAATATATATTGTTATATATGTTGTTTGTATTTGTACATATATTTTAAATAGTCGTAAAATACCATATAAACATCAATATAAAATAAGAAATGTATTACGAATGATCGATTAGAAATTTAAAAAAGTGATTGAAAATCGCGAGTTTTCTTATTCACGTTATAAACTTAGGACATATTCCTTTCTGTTTTAATATGTGTATACACCCATTACTTTTCAACAGAGTGTGTATAAGTACATATGTATACAACATTTTTATTAGTATAAGCTCTACTTTCAAACATTGCAATAATAATTACAGGTTGTTCGTTTTTATAAAAATAGTTTATAAATAAAATTTTTGTTGTTCAACGGTAGCCCTCATTTTTGTTTCCAGATTCATCTATCTATTCGATTTTATAAAAAAAAAGACCATAAAACGTTTGTAAATCGATATAGAAAAAACGTGGCAATGGAAACGCGATTTTCGTTTACTTTTTTAAATAATTTTTATAAAAAGGTGAATCGGATTTGCAAAAGGATTAAATGTACTTACAACAGGGTAAATTTGATTTGCAAAAGGGTGAAATTAGTGAACTTTCAAAAAGGTGAATTTGATTTGCAAAAGGATGAAACCGATTTCTAAATAAGGGAATTTAATTTTCAAAAGGGTAAATTTAATTTGAAACAGAGTAACATTGATTTTTAAATTGGTGAAACTGATGTTCAAAATGGTGAATTTAATTTGCAAAAGGGTGAAATTCGTGTACTTTCAAAAGGGTGAAACCGATTTCCAAATGGTGGAATTTAATTTTCAAAAGGGTAAATTTAATTTGCAACAGTGACATTGATTTTTAAAATGGTGAAACTGATGTTCAAAAAGGTGAATTTAATTTGCAAAAGAGTAAAATCCATTAACCAAAGGGGAAATTTGATTTGAAAAGCCTGTATGTATATTTCAGATGAAATCATGGCTTAATAATTTTATAAATAATATATTGTTATAGAATTTCTTTTGTTCGGTGAATCCCTCACCTTCCTTCACTAGTAAAAAATGAAATGTTAGAACGATCTACATATGACTTGACAATGAGTGAAAAAGAGGACGAAGCAATGAAGAAAACGCTAAATACTTTTTTTTTAACGGATTTTTAAAAACAATTTTTTGTACATATGCATGTAGTTTTTTAACACCCTCTGAAATCCGAACTTTTCAGAATACCCCCTGCAACAATTAGTTCGGATTACTGAGAGAATATTGTAATATCCCGCGGGCCTTATTTTCCCGTCCCCCTGACTTAGATAACTGTAATCTTAACAGTTAGTTTAAATATTAGTACAGAGTAAATGTGTCCAATTAGCTGAGGGTCATGGCTTCATTTTAGACTGAAACAATTACTAATAGGAACAATACTACGCTTAGTTCAAATTTCTATAAGGCGTCATCCAGCTTGAAATTGTGGTGAAGATCTTCATTTCTGTACCAAGATACTATCTTCAGTGTCATTTCGAATTTGTCAAAAAAAAATTGTAAAAAAATGATTATATAATTTTTTTTTTCTTTGGAATGCAAAATGAAAATGAGTTGATTCAATGACGAAAATCAGTGAGATTTTAGTAAGGAATGTCATCAAATCGATTCCAGGAGGGCATTCGATTTGAGGCTTGAGCTAGTTAGTTGGTATTGACGTCAATTGGGGATAGGTGGGAGGCCGGGGGGCGTGGCCAAGGGGCCCGAGGGAGTCGGTCGTCGGAGTCAGAGCGCGAGCTGAACTTGTTACACGGGGAAGGTCGGTCGTCATTGGGCCGTCGCCGTTTCTCTCCTGAGAGCTGCGTCTTTGGGTCTCGTCTGACGAAAGGGAGGATGCGCCCCTGCCCCGGGATTGTCGCCCTGACCGCCTGACCGCCCCGGCTCACCCTCTGGTCACAGATTCCGGCGAAAATGTCAGCCGCCAAAACGACCCCTTTCCTTCTCGTGACGGCCAACGTTGGCTCGATATTCGAAGACGTTAGTACCCCATACAATTTATATTTTCTGATATTTACTCTTATTTGTCACATTTTTGAACTGATTGACTTATTTTCAAACTTTTTCGGAGATCAGGCGAAATGAATCTAAGCTGAAAATGACATTATTTCTGTTAAACTTATATTTTAATAAGTATTACATTATAATCAATGGGGTGTGAAAGGCTTCAATAAACAATATTTTTAATACTATAATGTATAAAAATTTATTTTTTATATTAGGATTTACTTTAAACTTACATAGTAAAAAGTAAAAATATGTTATTTTCTTAGTCTACATTAAAATAGATTTATGCATAAACATGATGGTACATATATTTGTATAATTAGCATTTTTTGATGCACCACCTGTCTAATGGACTCTACTGCAATTATCTCAATTTTCGAATTCAAATGAATTTTTTGTAAGCTTGGAAAAGTATTTAAAAAGAAATTCATCAATGTTAAGGTGTTAATAAATGAATTAAGTTAAACAAAATGTATTTAAATAAATAAAGGTTCAAAATGCACTGATATACCTGAAAATATACCAGATATTTTCTTAAATAAAAAAAAAAGTTAAGTTAAAAAAAAAAGCTTATTACATTATGGCGAATAAAGTCAAATGAGGTGTTTGAAGTTTTTAATTAATGAAAATTCAAATTCACCACATTTAATTTCAAGGTTGATTGTAATAATAACATTAAGCATTTTTTCTGTACTTGAGATTTTTTGTTTTGTACAGTAGACTCTTGTAATCCGCAATGAATATGTACCAAGCATCACCTTGGATAATGAGAACCTCGAAATTCAGTCTTAAAAGCATCTCCAATCAGATACTTTCTGTGTCACATATTGTTATTGTAAAATGTTATTTAGACATATTACAGTTCGTTTTTTTTCCATTAGAAAAATACAATGTTCTGTAATATACATAAAGTTTATCCCCCACAGGAAAACAATATGTACATACATACATCAACAGGTTATAAACCTACGCACGATATTGAAACAAATGAGAATAAATTGTTAGGGGCCTAACAATTGCAACCACGGATGAGTGAAACCACAGATAACGAGAGTCTACTGTATTATAATTTTTATAACTGATTTTTACTAGCACAAAGCAAAAGATAACTGACATAGTGAAAAAATTAGCTTGTTACACACAATAGAAGTCACGCAGTAATGACAGTCCCTAGCATTGGGTCAATATATCTCTCAAGAGATTCTCAGCCACAGCCGGTTCAAACGACATGTGGGATTTCCAGGAAAGTTGGGGCATGAGAGCTATTGGAAAGTTGATTGGGGTGAAGTTCTAAATTTTGGTGGAGGTTTTTCTATTGGGATTTAATAATGGAGGTCATTGTGGATGGATAGGATTTTATTGGAATTGGATTTTTTCGTTGATCCCCAAATTTATATACCGTAAATCCATATCTTCTCAGGAGGGTCTTGTAAATTGTGAGTTTGTTAGTAAGGTCAAGTAATCTAAGGATTAATTTTCAGTGTCAGTTATTTCCCTGTCTTTTCAGTCATGTATGGGGATTCCACATTAGTCTTTTGTCCCACAATACCTGAGGTTGGAATGGATTTTCCATTGAAATAGACAGTAAAAGTAGATTTTCGGAGTGCAAAGGTAATGTGGGTGGATCTAGTTTTGTTGATTTTTAATCTCCATTTGAGAGACCTGGATAAGGTTTAAATGGAGTTGGGTGTCATCAGCAAAAGAGCATATAGTATTTTTAGGGAAAACAGAAATGTCAGCTGAGTATATTGTGAATATGAAGGGCCCTAGGATTCTGCCCTGGGTGGACACCCCATTTAATGGGAATATAAGAAGAAAACATAGCATCCTAAATGATGTACATATTATGACAAAGTCAAATGAGGTGTTCAAAGTTGAATGAAAATTAAGTCTCCATATTTGACTTTGTTAATTTGTAATAATATTACAATTATTTTAGCTTTGTTTTTCTGTACTTCAAAATTTTTAGGTTTGTTTTTATTTCATTTTTCAATTTTCATTTTTCATCAGTTGTAGCTTTATTCATTTATTTAATATAGATTTTTTACAGAATTAATTTATTCACATCTTATTATTGCAAAATTGCTATTATATACTTTTCAGTATCTATAAAGAAATTTGGATGGGGAGATGAAATTGGTGGGTAAATGGGTCAGGCGTTGACATAGTGCTCATCCCTGTAAGGTAAAGGTCTGGGTTCGAACCCAACATATTTACAAATGGGCTTTTTTTCAAAAAAAAACACCAACACCCGAGGGTTGGTAGGATTGCTGTGCGAACCCTTGTTACAAATTAAAAAAATCATTTTAATTTGAAAATTAAGAAAATTGCACCAGTTGATTTATTCAACTGTTATAAATCATTGGAAATAGTTTTAAAGTCCTTGTGAAGAGAATATATTCTTCAAAAAGTAATTTTTTTCTTTCTTTTTTTAAGATCTCATCCCTGATATTTTATGTTCAATTATAATATGAACCTGATATTAATAACATCCAGATAAGCTTTATTTATTTACAGGATGATTTTTAGTTTGACATTTACATTGCAAAATTGTAAATAATTTATTTCAGTTGTTACCAAGAAATTCATTTTAATTATAAAATTAAGAAAATTTAATACCACAGTCCGATTAGGCAGTGCATCGAAAATTACACCACCCTGTATATCTGAGCATATATTTTTTCTATTTCATGGTGTACTCAGTCACTTTTAAACTTAAAGAGTAAAAGTATAATTTTTTGTTATACTAACAAAAATATATATCAAAATATAAATAAATAATTTTTTAAATAAATTTAATATAGGGGATTGTCATGGCCAGTAGTTAAAGCATCCTACTCATATTTATTTTGCTAGTGGTCCTGTGTTTGAATCCAGGCACAGCCCATGGTTTTTAATTCATCACAGTATGAAAAAGTATTACAAATTCTTTGACCCCCCTCATCCAGATACTTAAAGGGTTGTTGGACGTTATAAATAAAATATAATGAATGTATAAAAACACTATTGCTATACGTGGAATTGAGTTTTTCCATTTTTTTTTTTTTTGCTCACTTAACTTATATAAAATTATATATGGAGATGTTTTGATCTTCAACTTAGTAGGCCTAATCTCTTTGAATATAAACTAAAAACAGGAAAATGCCTACTGGTTTAGCTGTTGCGAGAAATTGAGATTAGAACATGGAATAACTGAAAATGAATTAAGAAAAAGTAAAGTAGAAAAAAATATTGTGTAAAGTCAGAAAATACATTAACGGACAAATATGAACAGCAAATATTTACTTCTTGAAACACATTATATTACAAGCAACCTGAGTTAAACAATAGTTACATGGATTTACAGGTGAAAAAATTAATTCGATAAAGTCAAGATGTGAATTAATTTATTTAAATAATTGCAATTTAGGAGTAGAATCAAATCTTTGTCCGTTCTCCAATAAAAAAGAAATTTTTGCCAAAACTTTTCTCATTTTATAAATAGTTAGATATTTTAATTGGGAGTTGTTGATCAAAGTTGATTCCTGTAAGCCGCTCTGGATATATAGGTATTAACTTTGGAATTATTTCAAATAAAGGGCGTTTGACTTGCCATGCTAGTGGTTTTGCGTTTGAATCTGAGAATTATTAGACAAATTTATTGTAAAGAGGTTTAACCCCTCATCCACAACACCCAACACATAGTTTGACAGTAAACCCTTCTGTTTGACAGGTATTTCTCTCTAAAGTGTTTTAATTTACCTTGATTTTAATTCATGGTGCCTTTAACCAAATCGGTTGGATTTTATGGTATTAAATATTGGAAAACAAGACTATAAATTATTGTATTATATTTCATTATTAATAATTTAATTTTTTTGCCAAGTCCTGTTATTTAATTGATGTATTTGTTTACTCAAAAATTAATGAATAATGTTAAGAAATGTCAAATGATTGGTCAATAACCTGTGTCATATATATTAAGGCTACCGTTGTAATTAATTTTACAAATTAAATATATACTTAATTTGTTTTTTATTACATTTCTGATTAGCATTATTCAACTAGAGGATTTCCCTAAGAATAATTGTTAATGCAGTTTTTTAATGTAGAAAGGAAAACCAGTTTCTTTGTAATAAAAATCTACTTTGTTATGAGCCCGAAACATAAAGAATAAAGAAGAGATTTTTATGCCAAGGAAACACTAGGTTTACCTTTCTCCACCATCTAAACATCAAAGTACTTTACTGCTTTTAGCAGATGCACTGGTTTGATTTTTTGACTACTGAAAAATCTCACACACAAATATGTTTTTATATTACATTCGTGTTTCATTCTAGCCATCTGTTATGCTGAAAATATGGACAGAGGAATTTTTAGCAGTACGTAAAAATATTTTAGTAATTTTTGTTTTATAATTAATTTTAAATTTTTATAACTTGTTTTTACTCGTAGACAGTGAGCAGGCTAGACCCAAAATTCATAGCCTTGCATTGCCAGGAGGTCGGTGGGAAAAACTACGAGCTGAGCATGCAGCATGTTGAATATTTTGTAAAGTGAGTTTTAAGCCTTGATAACATTATTTATTTGTGTTTCTCCTGGGTTTTTGTTTTTGTTTACAGATTGTTGATGGATAGTGAAGAGCTGAGGCTTTTTAACAAAGTCAGGATTTACCTAGATGAGGATTATTCATCAGCGGAAACATTCACAGTAAGCAAAATTTAAAAAAAAAATTAAAAATGTTTTTGTTTTGTTTTTTCTTTCAAAACAGTAATGAATATTCAAAGTTTCTTTGGTATTTAAAGGTCCAAAATTAGTTTCCCTCTTGTTTGAAAAGGTGCTCATAATTATTCATTTGGTTGAAGATAAAACCTCATCTCGCTTACTGTGGACCCTTCAAACGTTTATTGAGCCAAAGGCTCTGAATGATACGCATTTCCATAATAGACTTTTGTGTAGAATTTCTCTTTTGCCCATTGAAGGCTGGAGTTAATTAAACTTTCCACGTATGTAACAAATCGAATTGGGTGGAAGGGACAGTTGGTGGGGAAGGATGTACAATATGAAAGGAAATTGAAAAGAGATGTAATGGAAATATTTTCGATTGAGTTTCTAGTCCGTTTGAATAAGATATTTTCCCTGCCCAGTTTTTAAAATACAGGGATTTAATATTTTCTATGTATAGTTTATTTATTCTGGAAGATATTTTCTATGCTGCTGTTTAATGGAAACGCGTTGGAATGTTCTTTTTCACATTATATGTATTACTTTCTTACTTTATTTAATATAGAAACAGAACTTTTATTTATTTATTGTAAAACTAATAAAATTAATTTTTAATATAACTTTTGTACAACAGCTTCTTCACAAAGTAAACAGTTTATTAGGTTTTACATTTAAAACATATAATTCACTAATTTCGTGGTCCGCTTATCTCAACTAAAAACCTTAATGAATTAAAACATAATATCTTCACCAAATGGAAGACTGTTTTGACCCCATTGAAGAGACATTTGATTACTTAGATAATTGTAATCTTAACAATTAGTTAAATATTAGTTCTGAGTAAATATTACTAATTAGCTTAGGACTCTGGCTTCATTTTAGACTGTAATAATTAATAATACGAATGATATAATGCTTAGTTTAAATGTATATATGCTCTACATAAAGTTACATTAGACAACTTAATTCAATTATTTGAATTGTTTCTGTATTTTTGTAAAGAAAAAAAGAGATAATTTTTAAAATGAAATATTTATTTTAGGCATTAGGCAACTTTTATTTTATCCATGAATCCATCGACGACGTTCTAATATGGGACTTCAAAGGTTAGAGCTTTATGGACTGTATATATAACTAAGTACTTACCTTTAACCCTTTATTCAGAGATGTGTTTTATGGCTGTGGAAGGTAAAGAGGTCTTCGCTGGAGAAATAGAAACCGTCTCTACAAAAGAAAAATCAAAATTCCCTCAAGATTTCTTCCCTGAGGTAAAAAGTTTTTTTTTTAAATACTTTGTAAATGACTAATTAAAAGGGGATTTTTAGTGCAAGTGGTCAAGAAAAGGCTTCATGAGGACAAGGTGGAATTTGAACGGCACTGTCTTTGATCTCATCAACATACACTTGTTTCACGATGCTTCCAATTTCATTGCAGTTGAAGCTGTAATTTCAATTAAGACTTGTTAAAAAAAAATTTCTTCTAAACTTCTTTTTGTTGTAGTATCCTTCGGTTTATTCAAAGACAAGACAAAGAGCACTTGAATACACTCTAGACAGGTAATTTTTATTATAATATTAATTTTAATTTAATATTATTTAATTAATAAATTTTATAATATATATAGTTTGCATTTTGTTAAACATTATGCTATTTAAGGTTTCATAATGATGAGTTTGGAACAGCGCCATTTTTTTTGTTTGGAGATTTTAATTTTAGGACTGATACCAAAGCAGTAATCAAGGTATTTGATTATTTTGGCATTATATAATGGATAATTTTTAACATTTCTCTCAAAATATCCAATAGAAACTTTGCGAAGGGCTTCAAGAAGTGCACAATACAGGTGACAAGAACAGGACTGTCGAATATAAGGATGATGAAAACTCCATCGTCTTTACACTGGGCAAGAAGGAATTCCGGCACAACAACCACCAGGCCATGTTCCTTGATCAACTTTGGGTATGTAGTCCGTTCGTTTATTTATTTTAAATTTTCAACTGCATCAGCGTGTCAAATTTCAGCTGAAAGAGTTTGACAAGGAAATGGACGACTTTTGCACCCAGCTGTATGAGTTTCCGATCCACTTTCCGCCAAGTTATCCTTTCATTGAGGATTCAACAACAGTGTCAGATTATATGGAGACGAGGTGCCCCGCTTGGTGCGACCGTGTTCTCTTGAGCCAGACGGCAAGGCCACTTGTTCATGGTGTAAGTAGACAAATTTGATATTCAGGACTTAAATGCCACAGGCTAAATCTCTTACATAAATGACCTTGGTGTGTAATTAAGGAAAAAAAGTCAACTCGACTAATCTTATCCAGAGTTAGGGAAAACCAGCTTTCTCTTCTTGAACGTGAACTTTCAAAGAATGTAAAACCATTAACTTTGTTACTAGCTAAGTTATTTATACCAACTCAGCAATTCTTATAAATTTAATATTAATAAAGTTATTAACAATGTATACAAATTACTTACTATTTGCTGATACTTGAATATTTACTAATATTTTTTTTTTAATTGCATAGATAAATATTTTTAAATATTATTTTCTCTAATGTAGTTTGTATCAGAGTTCGTATAAGCTTTTTTGATCAGAAAAGCCCAGATAGTTAAAATTTTATTTACCTAATAAAGTCAAATATTGTCTTAAACATTGTATATTATTTGATTGTGTATTTTATAATCAATCGATTATACTAATTTTTTAAACTTAATACTTACAAATAAATAAATTTAAAAATATATAACATACTAGATAATGACAATAAAGTCATTAGTTAAATTTAAAGTTTATAAACTATGCCTAAAATAATAAATATGCAATAAACAAATGAATAAATAATCAACTTTAAATAATAAAAAATTAATAACAATAAGTGTTAGTTGGTCCTATGAGTAATTATTTTAATTTATTCATTATTTTCTATGAAAAGTGTGGTTGAGTCAAAAAATCAATGTCACAAACAGGACACGAACCCACATCTGGATTACCACATGAACTAACGTAACTTCTGTCCTCGAGATACTGACTAATAATTAAGAAGCCAATATTAATAACAATAATACATTGCCAAGTTCTTTTTTCCTTCAGGAGAAGAATCCAGAATGTGTTTCAAAAGAGAAAAGACTGACTTTTTGCTTTTAACAGTTTGCTTTTTTGATTTCAATTCTAGGGAGCCCTGCAACTATGTAAACATTAAACACTACGAACTTAATGGACATTATTTATTTTATTCATTAGATTCACTAATTTCGTGGTCCGCTTGACCAATTTTTTTTCATCTCAACTAAAAACCTTAATTAATTTTAATTTATTCATTAGATTTCGTGGTCTGCTTGACCAAATAACATCTTTCAATTAATTAATCTTTATGTAAGGTGTTGCTTGAAATGAAAAAGTTAGTGTCACGAGCAGGATTCGAACCCACGATCTTGGCATTATGGCATGGCAATATCTTACATAAAGATTAATTAATTATTAATTTTATTTTTTTACGTGGTTCTGCATAGCTCCGAAGTCAAAGGAAGACTGAGAAATTAAAAATGAAAAATGATACACATGATAGAACAGAGTGGATCTGCAGATATTGAACACAAAACATTTTTTTGAAAAATTCTTAGCATCGAAAATGATTACAAAAAAGATCTTTTCTCCTCAATTCATTTAATCAATGCAGTTAACCCATAAAAACGATGTATTTTCACTTTGTTTTCATGAATAAAAAAATAATAAACATTAAAAAATTACTAAAATGCTTTAAACCATAAAATCATGCAATAGTGCAAATTAAGAGTAGTGTTAAAAGAACATCCTTTCCATGATTCAAATTTTTCTTGGTTTCACTGCAATCGTAGTTACCAATAAAATGATACAATTGGACAGGAATCCAGCTTTTAATTATCAGCTTTGATGAGTTATATTTTTTATATAGAATGGATGGGTCATACTTGATCTCATTCATAGAAAATTTAATTGATTAATTAAATTTGAAATACCGGTAGACAACAGTGGCCGAGTGGTAAGGATGTCTGGCTCGTATTTGCTATTCTAGAGGTTCTGGGTTGGAATCCCAGCATAGCCCACGGATTTTTAATTGATAATAGTTTGAAAAAAATATTATATATAGGTTTACCTCGTTTCTGACTGCTTAATTGGAAGTTAAACCCTCTTGTAATACAGGAATTACTTCATTTTTTCTTTGTTAATCGTGTAAATATTAATTATAGTTACAATTAATAAAGGTTTTTAGTTGAGATAAAAAAGTCAAAAAGTTGAAAAATGGTAAAAAGGAGGGAAACTTCAAAAGGTGGGGTTGAGATAGATCGAGGTCACGATAGGTAGAGTAGCAGCGTATCTAGCCGAAGATCGTGGGTTCGAATCCCGCTCGTGCCATTGACTTTTTTATCTCAACTAAAAACCTTAATTAATTGTAATATATTAATTGGTCAAGCGGACCACGAAATTAGTGAAATTAATTATAGTTTAAAAGTCCTTCTGATGAGATATTGAGTGAAAAGACTGTCCTTCCTAATTAGCCGTATCCCTTTTTATCTTTTTTCAAATATAAAAAAGTAAATAAAGTATTGTATATATATATATTTTTTTTACAGGATGGAGAGAGCAATCTAGAATATGGAGTTATTGGAAAGAGTTCGTGTATGGGTGATCACAAGGTAAAAATTGAGTTATAACACTTATTTTTATATAAATTGTATGTAGAGGTTAAAGATTGATAAATGCTTTCCTTTTTAAAATATGCAGCCAGTTCTACTTTTTTTCTTAATGGAAAGGTAAAAACATTGATAAATTTTGTGTCCATCTTTTAAAATCATCTTTTCTATTATTACTATTAGTATGTTGATTTGATGTTGATGAAGTTTTTTTAAAACATATATAAAAAATAGCTTATGTTGATAATATTGTTTTTATTTTAACTAGCCAGTCTTCCTTAAAGGAGGAATAGAGAACGGAGTCGGCCGGCTGTCTTGCTGTGAGTGTCACAAGCCTAATTCTCCTGTTAGCTTTGATTTGCAATCACTCCCTGGGGAGAATTTTGATACTAATGAAAAGAAAACTGAAAACAGTCAGCGGGCTTTGACTGAAAGATTTGTCATCAAGCGGGTCAACTCGGCGTCGGTTGTCGAGGTGAAGATCGGTCTCGTGCGAGGAAACTGCTCTTCTGGCAACTGGAGATCCCGGTCTGTCTCCGTGTCAGGGGGCAAACCGATATCCCGAGTTCGCCTCATCTCCTCAGACGATTTTCACAGTTCGTCCAACAGGCTCCAAAGCCACCATAGCTCCTCGGAAGAGGAGTGGTTCCAGGAGGAGAATGGCATTCCGGACTCCTTAGACCCAAATGTTTACAATATAAAATCGGATAGAAATTCCATTGAGGAGGATATTTTCAAAATTAATGATAAATCCTGCCAGCGGAAGAAAACGAGTAAAAAATGCTGTCTTATTATATAGAAAATTGTTTTAATCAGAAATTTCTCAGTATTAATGCTGTTTTTTTTATTGATTTCATTACACAATTATTTCAACAGTATGTTAATTAAAAAACAGAAAAATATACATCATTGTTTCATTCCAGAAAAGTTTTATATATTGATTCGCGATAAAAAATTAACTTCAAATTTGTTAATTTTTTATATAGAATCTCTGTGATGTCATTTAAAAAAATAAGATATATACAGAGTAGATCTCAATGTGGGGATAAACGTACTTATTAATTGAAAGTACAAAAATAGATCTGTTTTAAATATTACACTTTTTATTGTTAAATTTGAAACGTGATTCTTTTTAGTCAGCTTGTTTTTTTAATGCTAATATTATTTGTATCATAGTAACGAAATTGACGAATTTGTTTAACATCGTAAATCCTTTAATATTTTAACTGAAATCACATTTTGAATCGTAACGCCGTGTTAAACAAACTTCATAATTTTTCTTCACATAATTCATTAGTTCTTGCCAATTTATGACTAGTCATTGCTATATTACTCCTCATATATATTTTTTCTATTGTTTTATTTTTAATTTTTAGACTGAAAGTAATGATTAATGTTACCAATCTGTGTGCATGTTTTTTTTGTTTGTTGTGTAATACGTTCTGTTTGTTTTTTAAATAAATTATGATTTTTTTTAATTTTGCTTTTTTTGAATACTTTTGTTTAAATCAAGCATGATCCTTTTTCACCTTGATAGATTTTTATTTTTAACCCCTTGTGGAAAATATAATTAATGTCAATTCATTATGTATAATAACTTTTAATTTTATTTCAGGAAGTCAAATACATATAGGATTCCAAGACCTGAAGTACAATACAAACTCAGACGGATGCATTTCGTTCTTTATTTATTATAAGATTTTTTGATATTTTATTAGAGTATCTGCCATTAAAGGAAAGAGCAGTAACTAATTTTAAAAAATTGTTAGGGGTACTGCTATTTTGCTTCATTTTTTGGGTAAAAAAGCATCAGAACACTTTTCTTCCATTCTTCGTTTTAACATTTTATAACAGGATTATTTTGGAAAAATACACTTTACAGTTATCTTGAGTCAATATAATTGTTTGTCTTCCATGTTATACAACTATTTAATATAGTTCAGACTGGAAGCATTTTTTTTGTACTACTTGAGAATTTGGCTCAACATCTGAAATTAAAAAACTGCCAAAATTTGAATGTAAGGTACATTGGTTTTACGTTTCACATGTAAAATAAATATTAAAAAACATAAAAATTGATTATGACTATGAACAATGTAATAGAGGGTTAAATGGAGCTTTGTTAAAGTTTCAGCAATTATTTGGAACACTCACTAGCAAAGAATATTTTTGCTTATATTGGAAGAAGTAGAATAGCTCGTTTTTCAAGAGAAAATAAAAATAGTTAAAATCCATTTATTGCTTAAAAAAAGTTTGTGGTCAGTTTTCCCTTTAAATTGTTTTCTTCACAATCTTAGATGTTTTCAAAATGTGGGAATGGTCCTTTTTTGTGTCTGAACAAAGAACAATAAAATTCTTACCATGTGGACATAATTTTATGCCTAGAGAGGTAAGGTGCATGAGAGTACAGTTGGATCAAATTGAATTATATTTAGATCCTGTTTAGCTTTTAGAACAGATGTGGTGCTTTTAATAAGCCTGTAAAACTTTAATTGCTACCATTAAACCTTGTAAGTTATGATCTACCAAAATTTTCACTTAAAAAAAGTTGCTTATGATAAATGTATTAAAATTCCTTTTAGAAAAATTTGGTTAAAAAGTTTATTAACAACATTCTATTTTGTCAAATGTCTAAATTTATTTTCATTTTAAAAAATTATTCCCTCTGGAAAATGTGTTGTGAAATTGAGTCAAAGGTTGATTCCATAGTTAAGGCGCTTGTGTAAAAAATAACTTTTGATCTCAAATCTAGTCTTTTTGGTATATTTATTTTGCTGAGGAAAAATCTTGTCCATTTTTATACGCCTCAACTTTTATTAAGAGGAAAACAAGGGTAATTATTTTCCAAAGATACCAATGAACAGGGTACAAAAGTTACACCAGAAATTTTTTAAAAAATAGGTTCGGTGAAGTCTAGTCCCCTTTTTATTGTAGGTTGTTGATATATTATTAAAAATTCATAAATAAAGTTTATCGATATAAACTTACATTGTATGTAGGCGTTTTTGTAAAATGCTTTTCTGTTATTTTTAAACAGTAAATGTTTGTTATCACAGTTTTATTGTTATCCCAAAATGTTAAATGTTGTGTGACAAAATATGTGTCTAAAAAAAATTGTATTGTTATAAAACAAAAAGTTAATAGTCATCCAAATATAAATAAATGTTTTGATGTCAATATGAATAAATATAATTATAGAATTATATATCTTCTGCTTTTTAAATTTGTTACCCTAAAAAAATTAAAAAAAAAAAAAAAAAAAAAACTGAAATAGGACGTGTTAGTGGCCTCAATGGTTTAGGTGTACACACCGTGTTCATCACTGTAAGGTAAAAGTCCTGGGTTCGAATCCAGTAGCCCTCCATTCGAACACAACATACAAATGAGATATTTTTCAAAAAGTACCTTGAGGGGTTCATATAATCTTGTAGTTGAAATATGTTCATAAAAATATAAAAAATAATTGAGAAATAAGATGACAAACCTGTAGTTTGATCTTTGATCATTGTGATCCGCCAATTCTCAGTGATTTAGTCATATCAATCGTATATTTTGCCTTCGATACATTAATGAATAGTAGAATTAATGAGTATAAAATGGAAATAACTCGTCATGTTGGACTTAACGTCCAGCTACCCGTTGGGTGTCGCAGACGATGGGTCAAACCACAGCAAAACATTTTTCATGCCATTACCAATTAAAAGCCATTGCTCTGCCGGGATTTGAACCCAGTATTGCTAGCATTGCAAATATGAATCGGACACCCTAACCACTCGGCCATTACTGAACGGAATTACTGAGTAAATTAGTAGGATACGAAATTAAATAGGCCATATTAAACTTTGGTATAATAATTACATCAATAAAATATGCATCAGTTCACTTTCCATGTTCAATTGATACGTCTTGTCTTTTTTCTTCTTTTAAATTTATATTTAAAAAAAATTAAAACAGAAATAAAATAAATATATTACATTTATTTAAACATAGCTCAATCTGTATATATATAAAGTTTATAAAGAATACAATTTGTTGTTACAAATTTATTTACAAATAATATCCTGACTAGAGTCTTGTAAGTTGTGGCACTTGTACTTTATCAAGGTTTTGCAGGTGTTGCATTTTTTTAAACAATTATAACCCACAGGTGTTTATAAAATTAGAGTAATACAATATTAAATTGAGGGTTAAGTTACTGTTGCAAAAATAGAAAAATAATGTTTGAGAACTTATTCATTATAATGAATTGAAATTTAGTTGAAATTGTAAAGGTCATACTTAGTACTGGGGTAACGGTCCCTAATTCCTTCCTCCTGTATANATAAATTGTGATACAATGTTGGACAATGAACAACAATATTGCATAAAAAAATGGAAGTTTGGGACATTATATAAATTTTTTTGCTTGTATAAACCATATAAATTTTGGATATAAATCAACTTTTAATTTATAAAAATATATTTTTTTTTAAATTTCAATATAGTTCCCTTTTATGTAGTAAGATTTACTACTGTTTTATGCATTTTAGCACTTTTTTTAGTTGCCACAATTTAAAAAAATAATAAGTAATAAATATTTAAAATAAAATACCTACAAAAACCCTGGGAAAGCGTACATTAACACACTTAACCTTTTTTTCCTTCATAAAATATTGATATGCATGTAACTTGTAAGCTTAAAGACTAGTCTGGTGGTTTCATACCCGATGATCGTTTCGGAGGAGGGGTTGGTGGATGATTGACATCAATCGGCACAGGTGGTATAGGCTGAAAAAGTTTTTACTTCATTATTATAGTTTTGTTTAAATATTTAAACTGCTCACCTTATTTCTCACCCTGGGTGTGGATGGAGTTGATAAAACTACACCTGAGCTAACCTCGTCAGGGAGATTGCAGTAATCAGCATCCCTAGACTTTGCCGGTAGGGGAGGAGGCTCTTCCTCACTAGCTGTCGAATCTGTCAAACCTGAAACTAATATAATTTTCCATTGTTAAATTGATAAAGTTGTTCCTAGAAATTAAAAATATTTAATGTCCCTATACCTATTGAAGAGCCCCCAATGGAATCTCTATTTCCATTTGTGTTCGATATCGAAAGCTTTGAAGAAAACTGCCCACTCGGTGGACGACTCAGACGCTTTTCTTTTTCTACTTCTGACCTAAGCGGTCTTGTTGGGGTTAACTGAAAAAAATATTTCTTTAATATTCAAATCGTCTTATATAAAATAACACTGGTATAAAAGCAAAAGCAACAAAAAGCTGTAAATTATGTACTATTTGTTAACTTTTGTTTTCTAATTTATAAAATGCTTTAGATTAAATTGTGAGAATTTTTTGTTGTATGCAAAGCGATGACTAAATGTACAAATTGTACTTTTCTTCGTTTACAATCATCTTATTCTGTCTTCATTGGACAACGAAGGAGTGATATGTTCAAAACATAGATACAAACGAGAAAATAAGCAGGAAAACCACTGGAGATGATGAAATGCCAAAACTCTTAGGATAGGCAGACTGGGATGATTGAAAACAACGAACTATTTAGGATTGTAAAATGTGACATTTACGAGTTTGTAAACCTGTACCTTAATCATTCCTGATCTGCCTATTCTTTTTTTTAATGATAGACACAACTTGACATTCCATCATATATGACATCATATATACCAAAACATGGCAGACCATCAAAAACTGCAAGATATGCAGATGATAGAAATTGATCAAGCTACAATAATTTATATGCTTAGTTGTGTTTTTTATTGTTGCTTGGACAGATACCAAATATATTTAATATTTTATATTATTGGAATAAATAATTTACATTAGAGTCAGGTAAAATAGGCCTCATAAATAATTGGAAACAGATAAAAGTAACAATATTTTTAAAATTTAAAATTTTTTAAATTGTGAGATATTTTAGTGAGGTTTGCGAGGTAATGCACCTTTAGCTTGATCATTAACTAATCCTGGTTGTCTTATTCTTGCCAGGTTTGTATGTTCAATGATATCGCCATCGTCATAGCTCTTTCAGCATTTTTTAAAATGGATATTTATCTGATGTGTGTTTTGGTCGGTTATTGTGTTTGTATTAGATTTTTTTTTTTTTGTATTGCGAACAGTGTAACATTTAAGCTGATTTATTATATACATTTAAAAAATATTACTGTATTTTATTGTCATCACTACAACAAACTTAAAAAATGAGTTGAGAACTGTTTTTATACATTGGTGTCCAAATAAAGTTATTTTGTTTGTACAGTTGACGAGGTATAAGCTAGATTTTTTTTTATATAGATACATTGACTTTTCTTATCAAGATAATTTTACCTTGTCTGTATTGAATCTGTTAAACATTCTGATACAAACAATCAAGCATCATTTAATTTTAAAAAAATATACCATTTGAAATTAAAAGATTATTTACAAGAAATATATTATCTTCTAAGTAATAAATGACTGTTCCAACCCAGAAAGGGACTATGATTAGGAGTTAACTTGATAATTAGGAATTGGACTTATTGGAAGCATCCTTTACTACGATGAACTGCATGATGAGTTTAACTTTTGTTCCCCCCTTATTTTATTTTTTTGTTTTTTAAATTATATATTGGGGCATTTTTTTGGGAAATATCCCGACACTATATTTTTATTTTTTGCTTTGTTTCTAAGGTTTGATCTTTCTCTCCAGAATAATGGGATATAGAAACTTTACCATTCAAAATGGCAAAATACTCATCATTCATTTTACATTTTTTAAATGTTTTATGGCGCTGGATTCAATGGTGCAAATGGTATTAATTTGGAGCTACTGTTCTCAAGTTCTCAAGGCAAAAACTCTTTTCAAACATTGTTTTTCCGTATAAACAAAATTTTCTCCAACCAATCACCAATTTATTTCTTTATTATTTTAATCATTAATTAATATTATTTTAATTCACCTCATCGTACTGAAAGAAAAATTTTGCAATTTCCTCAAATCATATCGATTAACAGGACACTGAATGTAGTTCATTATAGTTCAATGCAACCTGGTGAAAATTGCAGCCCACAAATACAAACTTAAACTTAAAGGAATTAATGTTTAACAAACAAAACCTAAATAAAAAAATAAAAATTGATTTGTTGAAGCTTGAGGCTTTTGAAGAATTCCAAGTTTTTACATTATTTAACTTACTTTGCAGATTGTAAAAATGTCTTGTACATTACAAAAACAAAGTGGAGTTGATTCTGCTGATGATAAAATTGGCCTGAAATTTGCACCATGTTGAATCCCAGCTACATCCAGTACCTTGTTAATTGATGTTATTTAAGGAAATAAGTTTTTTTTTCTTTTGGTACCACGAGCAAGTAATTTACTATTGATTCAAATGATAAATTAATTGGTAACTGGTTAAAGAAGTTAGGTTAGTTTTTGTTTTTATACAAAAAACATTCTTTGAAAAGGTTTTTTTGCGAATAACTTGAGTAAAGTTGCTCCAAATTAAAAACCATTTGCAAAAACCTTTAAAAAGGTACATTGATGATTATCTTGCCATTTGAATAGTTAATTTTTTATTTATTACTCATTTCCTGGAGAGGTAGATCAAAACGTTTTGGCGCATGAGAAACTAAACAAAAAATATCACTTTACGTGTCTTGGGGTTTTTCACAAAAACACTCTAATTTAAAAAAAAAGAAGGATGGAACAGAAGTTAAACTCATCCTGTAGTTTGAAATTTTTAAAATATAAACGTAATCCTTTGATCATACCCAGGGTTATAATGAGATTACAAGCTCCCATAATGTACAGCATTAATTCAAAAAACAAGAACAAAAGCAAGGACTGGAGGTAAAGGGTCAAAAATTGAATACTTTAACTGAAGGGGGTAAAACAGACCATTTTGACTTGTTCTAAATATCTTCTTATCTTCTCTCTAGTTCCTTGAGAAATCTCGTGACGGTGTTCGTTAAGATTGGGCGACTAGAAAAACCCCAAATTTAAGCTACTCATTTATTAGAAAAAGAATTGGCAGTGTGTTGTCAACATGCCAAACTTGTAAGCTTACCTGCTGCCTAAGTTCTATGACAGGTATGGAATTTGGAGAAATGCTGACATCGTCACAGGAGATGATGCTCGTGGTTGGAGTCGAAGGTGTAGAAACTGATGTATTGCCCAGCACCAACGAACCCGTGTACCATTGTGACGAAGCCCTCGGTGTGTTTGAACTGTCAAGAGTTGATGAAGAACCTATACTATAAACGTCCTTTTCTTTGTTTGTGTGCCTTCTTTTCTTCTTCTTGTCTTTCCGCGGTGTCGTCATGGCCATTGAAGTCGAACGGACATAAACACTACTTGCCCTGACCGAAAAAAATGGAAAATAAAAACAAAATAAAATAAAAAAAAAGAAACAAAATTTTTTGGGGGGAGATTGCTGCGTTAATCTGTCAAAAAACTCCATTCTGAATGAATGCAGATAATATGTTTGGTTTATATTCGCAGCGATTCGGACGATGGTTCTGAGCGAGTAAGCATCTGTGGACAAGCAATAAAATAGTCCTCCTTTATCATCCTGTTATTTGAGTGAAGTTATCAAAAAACAATGCATGCAACTAGGCATATTGAATGAGTAACTAGTAAGATGCTTAAAGAAGCAGCAATTCAACAGTTAACATTAAAACATTATGCAAACATTAAGTGAACTACAATCATGAATGTCGTACTTTACACAAAGAATTTATACATACAATAAAAAAATAAACAAATATCCTTGAAGCTGTTACCCCTGGAAAGCAATATCAAGAAGAAGAACTAATATAATGATAAATTCTTAATTATGGCAAATGTCAGTTCAAACTTTAATAAAACACGCCTACTGAAGAACGTAGGTTATTAAAATGATTTATGGGATATAGGGGGAAAATGGGCTATTTAAATTTTGACTCCAAAACTGTAAATTCAAATTGGACAGAAAGCACATTTTCTTCTTTGGAAACCACTTTGTGACTTACCTACTTAAAGTGGACGAGGGTGACATTGTTGCAAAGTTTACAAATGTCTTCAGGCTCGCGACCTGTGATCTCGTCAGGCTGGATACACGTGATCTACTCCCCCTACAATAGAAGCAAACATGGCGCAACATTCGTGGGCATGCGCAAGCAATGTAAATGAAATAAAGAAAACACAAAGATTTTAGTTTCAGTGTTCTTTAGTTCTTGTTAGTTCATTTCAGCGTATTTTGAGTTTCCAGCACTGGATTTTATTGATTATTAAATAACTATTTGACATAATTATTTCATTTGTTCTAAACAATAATACCATCAATCAATAAGTAATTTTAATAAAACCTTTGTGTCATGCTTAATGAACCTATGATTCCACTAAAAAATAAAACATGCTAAACAACTGACTGACTACACAAATACTGGAAATTCAACATACAAACAATTTTAAAAAATAAAAATTACTTTACGCTAAGTGGAAAAATAAACTGAAAGATGTGCATTTATAACTTACTTCCACACAGGATAATTTTTCAAAGAATTCAAAGCAAACATGCAAAATTAAATAATTAATGCTCCATTTAAGAGAGCTTAGTTCAAATATTGAATTACTGTTGATACTGAAAATATTACTCACTCGGTGGAGCCGAAACTAGTCCCAGAGAGGCGATTTTCGGTGCTGTTGTTTGGCAGACTGGCCTGACGTCTCATTTGTACTGGTTCATATTTTATATCACAGTTCTGAAGAAAAAGATATCATGTTATAAAATGTATAACCCAATCACCATCTTAATATAAGTTAGAAATAATTGTTAATACAAGTTAAAATAGTTGTAAAGTAAATACATTTTTGCAAATCTGGCAGGTCATCCACCCAGAAGGGAGAAAAGAAACGTTTCCCAAAAACTTGGAAAGCATCGAAACTATCATATTAACTATAAATCATGATAGACAAACAGCCCTCAACAAAGGACTTGGTGGCTGCATAATGGAAACTTTTTCGAATTACGGGTTGTACTGCGGCTGACCAGGTCGTGACCAACACATGCAAGATTATATATATATATATGGAGGATGCCCTAAGACTAGCCTGTCTGTCAGAAAAAATTCTAATATCTTTTCCCTTAATTTTATTTACCAGAAGTGTTCTACAACACACATTGATGGCCCAGATTTCTGCCTGAAAAACGGAGGTGTTATTGCCAAGAGAGGAGGAGATGCTGATTCCTAATTTTGGTATGTAGATTCCTGCACCACTCCCTCTACCTTTGATAAGTGATCCATCTGTGTGGCAGTCTATGTTACGATGGTCATCATCCAGACTATAATTATAAGGGATGACTACCTGAAAGTGCTTTTTCCCCGAAGGGGTTTTAATCTTTTTATCACTAACCTTACTCAATAGTTGTGAGATTTTCGAGTGGCCTATGTTATTGCACTTATGATTCCAGCTGCCCTCGTTAATTAAAACCCACGCAAGAAGGGAGTTGACCATCTGGCCTAACAGTTTTTGCTTTTCTTTTCCTCCTCCACCCTTATTGGAAAACCAATATAAAAGGGAATGATTTGAAAAGCAGCCATCAGTTGAAGTCAGCCAGACAAATGAAGAGACCCAATTGAGATATGATGTCTGTCCAGTGTCTCAAAAACAGTAGATAGGAGGACAGACTTGATCAGGTCGAGGAGACAGTTGGACAGGTGAGTGAAGACACCCGGCTGAGATATGTCGACTGTCCAGGGCCAAGACTAGTCAAATAAATTCAACTGTCCAAGAGTGACCCAATGCAAACGAGTTGACAGTTGTGTCTAGAAAGCAGTGGAAATTCTCAATCAATAGGAGGACTCAGTCAATCAGCCATATTCGGTTGAGGACTGAGCCAGCCAGAGCCAGCAAAGACCTAGCCATTTCGACAAGTTCAAGAGAATCGACTGTTGAGGATCCAAGAAGCTGCAGAAAAAAATCCTGAAATTTGTTAAAGGATGTGGAAGCTAGTGTTAGAGAGCATCATTTGGGGTAAGTCCTCCAGTAAATAAGCTCATCCCCAGAGTTATATTTGTGGCTGACTTGCCTTTTTTATTTAACTTTTTTTTTTTACTTTACAACGCTTACCTACAACTATTTTAATAAAAAATGTCAACTTTTGTACTTACTTTAACACCATAATTAGAAAAAACATGAGCCTGCATGGATGTGAAGCACTCTTCAAGTTTTTGTTGAAGAGGGAGAAGCTGTGGAGGAGCGACATCTCGATGGGTCTTTATCCCAACGTCAAGTAGTGGAATCTGACATGCTATCAGCTCTTTCAGTTGGTTCACTTGTGCTAAACTCTCAGGATGTTTTTCTAAGAATTCTGATGTGAAGAATGCTTTCTCGTAATTTGTGATCCCGCCCATAACCGCTGGGTCCACTATACCGTTTAGTTTCATGCTCAAGGGATTTAGATTCAAGTTTGGATCGTTTTTATAATCCAGAATCAATTCACGCAGTGAACTGGAAAATAACATATTTAGGTATGTTTGCAGGTGGTGTACCTAGCTGCACATCTCCAATCATCCTACACTGAAGTAAGCAAAAAATTCTAAAACATCTCTGACAGGCAAAAGTCAGTCAGAATATAACTAGGATAATCAAGAGATGATCAAGCTGCAGGTTTTCAGAATGGCTATAATCATAGTTAGAATTTAAACTAGTTCTTACTTATTTGATGCCTGCATAGTTTCGATGGCATTAGCGAGAGGAGATAATGTGTACACTTGAGTTGCTGTAACTGGAAACCACCGCAAGATTCCTGGTAGAGGATATGAAGTAACCATAATATGCCTCTCGACCCACAAAGTCGCAAATTCATTTTCTTTATCAGCTATTGAATCCCGCTTAAATATTGGACGTGAAAATCGAAATTTCTGGACATTATTTACTCTAGAATTTCAAGAATATTTTATGAAAATTGTTCAAAAACAAAAAATTAAATATTTTATAATCAACCTGTGATATTTAAGAACTTGCGAGCTGACATATTGGCCCATTTTCCTCTGCCTTTTTTCATCCATCATTGGCTCAACGCTGTTTATCTGTAAGTACTGGTGATTCGACTGTGTTATGTCATCTCCCGGCATTGTCAATGTACTTAATAGCTCGGCCTTTGGAAGTTGGTTTAACGTACGTGTGCTGAAATCACTTAATCTTTCGTATTCTTTTCCCCTGTAGATGAAAACCTGAAAATTGATTTATTTATAAAGAAACTGTAGAGAAGATAAATAATAACACTTTTAGCTTGAATGTCTATGATCTGGTCAATTTATTCTCTCTAATTCTGCGCATCTGGCAGATAAAAGAATCAAGCAACAAGTAAAAAAAAAAGTTTTACCTTGTTTTGAAGAAAATGTGGAAAGCCTTTTCCATAGTAAGCAACTCTAAAGTATTCAGGCTCAGGGCGTAACTTGCCCATTATCTTATCATAGAACGATGCCATGTCTTTAAGAAGTGAACTAAGGCGTTTCAGATCATAAAAGTGATTCTCATACTGGTCAGCTAACTCTTTGCATATTTCCACAGCACATTCCCACATCTAAAAGTTAAAAAAATTATTAACAAAAAAGCTGAAAAACCTACCAAAAATTACATACCTTTCCCTGATCAAAATATTCAATAATTTTAGTATAAAGGGCTTCTTTGAGCTGACGGTGAGTTGTGCAATTTGGGTAACGGCTGCTCCTTAACAACATATGGAGGGAATCGTCAGACCAACTGAGCAGATTGCTATGCAGCTTGAGGGTGTACGCGGCTTCAGTAAAGTTGTCACATTCAAGGTGGAGGTCACAAAGTTTATTGAGATACCTTATGTACATCTCTTTTCTGTTGATCTCTGAGTAAAAGTCCTATTGCAAGAGATCGATGAAATTAAAAGAATATAATGCAAGTTGAAATAAAAATATAACTTACTAATAAATTGACTGTACAGCTCATTCTATTTTCTTTGTTTTCATCATTGATGATACACCTATACTCCAAAAGTCTCTCCATTAATCGTGACACAGTTTTGACAAAACGCAACCCCTTAAAAAGTTGAAAGAATATAAGTTTTTATATTACACAAACTGAACGCAAAAATAATGTACCTGGTCTTTTAAAGTTGAATGGTTTTCACACAGACCTCCAACTAATTTGTAAAATAATTCTTTATATTCAACATCACCACGACCCCCTTCAACAAGATTGTCCAATTTAGAAATCATTTCGTTTTCAAACTGGAAAAAAAAATTATGTCAAAAACTGAAACCATTAAAAAATAACCACAAATTACCTCATGGAAATTAGCTTTGATTTTAGTCGAATCCTTTTGATTGTCGTTACAGTCTTTCTGCGAATAGAATTCACATTGCATCATGTCGAAAAATATAGGTAGAGTAGCGCTTCGCAGCTCGCTTTCGGGTATGAGGGTCATCTCAAGAAAAGGCCCGACCAATCCGGGAATAAATTGCTTCTTGTGTTGGCCCAAGTTGAACCACATTCTGCGAATCTCAGATCCGGTGTCCATTCGCATATCTTTGTAACGTTTAACAATCATGCGTTTCTTTGTGGGAGAAAACATCTCAAGCTGTAGAGCAGGCTGTGTTAGGAAAGATATGGCACAATGGAAAAAATTGTTCCAAGCCTGATGCTCGAAGTTCTTTGAAAAAAAGTGGTCCCGAATGGTGTGAGAAAAAAAGTGCAAGGATTTCAAGATTATACTACAAAAAACACAAACATAGAAGATAAAAATATTCACATAGAAAAAAAAAGACAAACACTGACCTATTTTGAAGCATGATCATTTCTGACCAATCTTTTGGATAGACCGGCCTTGAAACTAAATCTTTAAATACCAAAAGGATTTCCATGAGAAAATCCAGAAGATCTATATTGGTCGGGAATCTCCTGATGTACTCTGTAAAATGGATAGAACCCATTTGGCGTAGAATTGATAGCATTATTGCAACAAGATTCCCCTAGAGTGACACAAGAGTTTGTAACAGAAAAACAAATACAAAAATTTAAAATGAACCATCATAAACTTACAACAAGGGCCCCTTCCCTATCCATAGCAATAGCGGTTTGTGTAACTGTTCTTAATATCGTATAAGCTGTGACACTCAAATCATCAGATGTCATCCCAATATTATCACGAAATAGAAGATCCATAATGTCACTTAAGATATTAACACAAAGCTCGACCTATAAGAAATGATCGTAAGAAGAATTTACTTTTTTTTATCTAGTGTGTATATGAGTTTGTGTTTGTTATGTAAGTTCATAATTTATATTTATGAATGAGTCTGTGGTGTGTGTGAGTGTCATCTGCATGCGTATGTGCAAATGTGCATGAAAAATAAGTATATTCTTCTAAATCCTACATTCAACAAATGATAATTAATTAATGGCCTGAATAAAAAAATTATTAACTTTAAATTGAAAGTATATTGTATACATTCAACTAACATCCATTTATGCAATATTTTCTCAACATCTTTAGTTGTGTGATTTTTAAGAGGACACAAAAGGGAGATGAGGCCGGGACTAAACCGCCGTGATCCAGCCCTCTGACAATATGTTTATTATATAAATATGATTAAAAGAAAGTGGCATAGTCGGTAGGCCAGACTGGCACAAAAGCTCTCATTCAAAAGCACTCATAGAAGAAGGATCATCATCCTAACCCAATTAAGGATAAGCCATGCAAGGTTGACCCAAGTACACTTAGTTTTGGGCCAAAGCCTGCATTTGTGTCCAGCAATTGGAGACAGGTTGTTCGATGTGTCCCACTTAATTGAAGAGTGCCACTTCTTGGCTCCATATAGAGAGCATGTAGGAATGCAAAAAGCAACTACCTGGGGTCTCTGTTCTATTTTTAAAGGAAAAGGGCTGTTTTACTGTAGGGCTGATGGCAGAATATATTAAGTACCCCATCGACCCTAAATTAGATTGAGTGTGATGTTGGAATATCAAGTTCACCACTCTAACTGAATGAATGGGTTTGGATTAATAAACTGATTGAATTCGGGCCTGGAATGACCTGCTGTTGATACATCCTGGAGCTCAACCTCACTGGCTAGATGGACATGACAAGTTAACCTGTGTTTCAGTTAAGCCAAGTTCAGTTAAAAAGGATTTTACTGTAATCAAAATTTTGAAAATTAAAGTTAATTTATATATTAATGTTAAGAAATATATTAACTGCATAAAGGAGGGTTGAATATATTTTATATACTTTCATCCATTAAATTATTTATCCTTTTTTTGTATCAAACATTTAATAGTTTTAATATTTCATAGTAGTATTATACCATAATATTATAGTAGACAGTTCAGTGGACAAGTTGTTATGTCCAACTGATAGGTTGATAACCCACTTAATCAACAGTTCAATTTGTTTTGAGTGTGTTACAAAAACTTAATATCAAATTATTCAATAATTAAAAAACAAAAATGCATATTTTATCTGTTATTTAAAAATCAAAACATATTTTTGTACACTGATAAACTTAGCATTCTCATTACTACCTGTTACTTTACAAAAAGGACAAAAATGTATAGATTAAAATATTAATAAACATTAGTGCAAACTAAAGCAAAATGTTAAATAAAATATTTATACAGTATATACAAATGAAATATAAATAATAATTTTTAAATATATAGTTCCTATATATAAAAAACAGACAAAAGTTATCATGTAAAATTTTATTAATTACATAAATAATATTTCACTTTATAATTTTTGTAATAGTCTTAATGATTTTCTTGATTTGATGGAAAATAGAAAGTATTTTAAGTAAAATTACATTCAATTTTTTGATTAACCAATTTGAAACATTCTATAAAGCATCTCATCAAACTGTTTATCTTGTGACCTATAAGGTAAAATCAGCCTTTTTATTTCTTCTGTGCGACTTATCTTAGCGGATCTAGAACATTGTGCTTAAAAAAATTTCACTCGAAATTTTTTTCATTTACTAAATAAAACATTCGTACTATCATAATTTCTAACTTATCCATTCAGCTTACAAAAAATAAACTAAAATATTAAAAAATGGAATATGAGTTTAACAATAACAGAACTTGCCTGAGATATGTCAGAAGATTCTTGTAAGTCTTGTAACTTTGCCTCAGACTCTCCCAACACTTTGGCGACCTTTGCAACTGATTTTGTTTTGTTCCTAAACTCCTATTTTATAAACGGCACAACAAAAACACTCAGAAAAAATAATAAATACACTATTTATAAATATTCTTAATAAAAAACAAAATTAATAACAAAAATACACGGTTTTAATTTTTTGCAAAAGTTAAAGCGTGAATTATGAGCTCATTAGAAACAAATGTGCGATTTTAAATTAATGTAATAAGTTAAGATTAATATGTATTGCATTACAATATTTTTGTGCATATGCAAATATTTATATACTCAATATAACTATTGAATATTTTCTTTAGAGAAAAATGAGCTCAAAAAATTTACTTTATTTTATCTGTTTATAATTAAATGTCTTTTTTTTAAACTTTCATTGTAAAATGTGCTGTACTTTTTCTTTTCCTTATGTATGTATGTATATATATATATATATTTATAAAACTGTTAGAAATGCACGGCCATGCTCATAGTAAAGCGTTTAAAATGACGCAGATTTCTCTTCCTGTAAGCTTTGTTCCATGTTTCATCACAACAGACAAAAAGCAGATCCCTGATTATAAAAATTTATATTTAGGACATGCAAATGGTAAATCCCTGAAAGTGGATGACAATGACAAGTTAAAATTGCGTCTTGTCAGACAGCTGAATTTTATTGTGTATGTCCTATACTTAGACATGCATTTATATAAATTTTTTCTGTTATTAATTGTTGTTGATTTGTTTAACATTTAAGAAATCCATTTTCTATGTAAATTGTCAAGGATTGAATGAAGGCTGATAGGATGTTTACAATATTGTAAAAGGCCAGTGCCTCAGTTATATAATCTCTACAACACTATTTAAATATGCAATCCATATATATATTCTTATGTTTTAACCAGAGTAATTAATATTTCTTAGGAAGCCAAAAGCAAGCAAATATAAATTACAAAGATATTGAACAAACTAATAAATCTCTGGAACAGGTACAAACTTAACCATGAAAATTAGACTATTTGCAAACCTGGGGAAAAGAAAATTTACATCTGTTGAAACAATACTCTCACACAACACAAAATAATGACACATCTACACAGAAAACAAACACTTTGAGCCCTGAAGATGATGTCAATAAAGATCGAAACGGCACGATAAAGAAAATGTTTTTCTAAACCTTCATCACACCAGACCGCATCTCACGATTTCCAAATAATCATTAATTAACGGTCACTAAACACCACACATCTGTTCACAAATTTGAAAGAGACAATGCAAGCATATAAAGGGAACTAGGTTTGGGTGACTAACCTCTATAAGACACTATTTAGACCAAAACTTTTACAAAACACTATAAATTGTCTGACACTATTTAGAAAAAAATGAAAAAGGTTTATAGAGCAGTTCCAAATGAGTTTGTCTCCTTGTAACCGCACTTAGAAATATTTCATAAATTTTTTTTACATGCAATGTGTTAGCTACTCTACCAGTATTTTCTTTTAATTTTGAAACTGTTACACATGATGAACAGAAGAACTTTTTGTCAATTCAACACCTTTATTCAAAACTGTTATGTACATATGAGGTATCAGAATAGTAAGAAATAAGAAAGAAGGTTGTTTCAACTCCAATTCCTGGCTGAACACCTTCTGACAAAAAGCAAAAACATTCCAAAATGGACCTGTTGTCCCGGCTCCTTTAGACTAATTCTTCTTGCTTTTGATGGCCCACTTCCTTAACTGACTGCATAATGTGCAACTCGTGCATCATGCTGAATGTCCTTCTGGGTATATCCTCTCATTTATATTTTTAAACTCTCCCTTCGCTTCACCCGCTACACAGTTCCATTAAAAATTCCTAGGGCCACCTTTAGAAAATGCAAGAGTACCACTTGCTACAGCGCCGTTTCAATTTTTTTGAACTAGAAGTGATTTTTTTTATTTATCCTGCGTACATAATTTGCTTTTATGTGTACGTGTTGTGTCATTTTAACTAATTATTTACCCATTTTGTATGATTACGCATATCAATTATTGTAGAAAGTAGTAACAAATTTTATTCAACTACACACAAATTGAACACATTCTGGGGTTGCCTACTTCATTTAATTAGCACATAGTGCAATTGTTGCATAATTATTGCTTAGACAAACAACATAAAAAAATATTTTTAATATGTTTAAGTACCAGAGAGCTATTTTACATGATAAATAGAGTTCTGCTGTGAGCAACCAAAATGGCCAAGCATAGGATGCAGTCAACGAGTTAAAGCCATTGTTCATTCATCCTAATAGACAAAAATGGTAATGATTCGGATACCATCAGGGAGCATAAAGGGAAAAGAAAAAGAATCAACACATTCCAGAATACTAATTCAACAATATGAATAAATATTAAATATTTCTCAAAAATTCAATCTGTTTTCTTAGTTTGGACCCCCAGGTTTGAACAATAGAGGTCATACCAACCCCAGGGTGTTTTTGTAAAAAAAAAAGCCCTCAGGGCCAGTGGATTCAAACCCAGAACTTTTACCATGATACAGTGATGATCGCATGTCACACCAAAACTGTCGCGACCAACAACGTCCGGGCTTTGAAAGTTCATACAATAACTGCACAAAAAACGACTAAAGCTTTTTTTTACCAGAGACTGCTAATATGTTATATAAAAAATTTGATTATTATTTTTGTTTTATGTAAGTGCTTATAATTTATTCAATTAAATTAATTATGAAGTTAGCTTACGAAGTTAAATACAAAGTGGTAAGCTATTTAAGTAAATAATAATAAAGTGGGATGTATTGGTAAGTTAAAAGATCACAAATGTTGAAATATTTTTCTGATTGAAGATAAGCCATTTTTTCTTGAGTGCTTTGTGTGCATGATGAGTGCATATTCACTATCATTTTTATTCTTTGAAATAGCAAAAAACAATAAAGTGCTGGCAGCGTACAAAGCAATTGTTTGTTTTATCACACAGTTAACAATGAATGAAAATTCAAAGTTAACCAAACAAACAAATTTGTTAATAAACAAAGACAAACAAATTTTCTGAACATATCTGATTGTTAAACAAAAACAAAACATGCCATTTAATCTTACAAACTTAGGGCACTTACCTTGGGTGTTATTGATTAATTATTAAAAACGAATAACCAAAAAGGTGAAAGTTTTACTCACATGTTTAAATGACGGCTGAATTTGTTTTGAATTTTAAATCCAAAATTCGCATGCAAGGAACATAAACAAGAATTTTATTTTAACACAACAGACATTTTTGTATACATAAAAACATGAAACATTAGAAACATTCAAGGCATAGAGGATGACAGTAATGAACAATGCACTTACCTCGTCTTTTGCCTCAAGTAAATCTTTGACGTGAAGCAATACATCAGGTAAAAGTATGTGCCGGCATTCTGGAAGAGCAAAAAGAGGGCTGTGGATGATGTCACTCAGAGTCATCATCTTTTGCTTCATCAGCCTCTGAGGTGACAAATTGCCGATCAAATCTCGCAATATATCGCTTTAAAAATTCACAATGTTACTTAAGAATTTCCATCAATTCAACAATAAAAAATACCTAAGATGAGTAGGGCTGAAGACTTCAATAATATCTGGTATTGTTGTAGGAAAGTATTTTAAACAAGTGCCCTGCAGCACAAGAGTTGCATCCGAGTTATCAGACATAAGAGCAACAAAACTCTGTAAGACATCTCTCAACGCGAACATAAATTCATCTTCGTCTTTTCCCCCATTCAATCTATTTTTTAAAAGGCAAATTAAAATTAAATGTTTTTGTTACTGCAGTAATTGAACTGACTTACTCAGAAAATAATATTCTGGATCTAACAATAAATTTCATGATATACTGGAGGGACTTCATAGTTTTAAGTAGAATATCTTTATTGTGGGGGTTGATAAAGTCTGAATTGTCCACATGATATTTTAACACTTTCAATAACTTACTGTTTAAAAACAAACAAAAAATAATTAATTCATTTTAATATTAATGATTAATTAACAAAATGTACTTGTATGCTAGGGTAGCGCAGAAGCTTTCTTGAATGTAGAGATCAAGTACAGGTTGGAAGTGTTGATATTTACGATCTGAGACCAGTCCAATAATGTAAAGCTGAAATGTAACTAGTCTTTAGTCTTTCAAATCCATATAAAAAATTAATTTTTTTAATATATATTTTTATAATTCCAATTTTGATTATATCTTACCAAACACTCAAAAACCATATTGTCGCATGATTCTGTCTTTGAATCCTGGATTATATTAAAAAGAGCATCGAGCACATCCTGAAGAAATTTCACTATTTCCTCCCCGCTCACATTGCTTAGAGCTTGAAGGCTATCTTTAACATTACCCGGCTCGTTTGCCCAGTTAAGCAAACTAAGCAGATCAACTAAAAAGAATTTTTTTCTTAAAGATTTACAAGTATACAAGTAATATATAATTAAATTTGACTAAATTAAAATTGCCAAACAAATATATTTATAACCAACCTTTGAGTCATATTCTTGACAATCAAGTAACATTCATTCACTGACAAAGTAAATTAATCCTTTTGTTACTGATTTCAGAAACTTTTTTTAGTGATACTAGGTTGAAAAATATTGGACAAGTGTCTGAGGGCTCCATCCAATGGGCTCCAGGAGTCAAGAATTTTTTTTTAGGTGACCAAATATTGTGTTCGTAAAACTGCTACTGCTGTTTTGATTTTTCATATCAAGTTATTGGAACAAGCCAATAGTATTGTAGATATAATTGTAACTATAAAGACTCAAGTCTCAACTGACAGTCTCTCATTACTATATTAATTTCACCAAACCCCTATATATTTTTTATGTACTAACAACCTTTAAAATTTATTTCAAATTAATTGAAGAGCTGTGAGCATTGGCAGTATTTTTTTTTATACCTAAAATATCAGGGTGTAGGTGGCTGCAATGGATTAGCTGTTGACATAGCGCTCATCACTGTAAGGTAAAGGTCCCGATTCGTATTCAGCAACCCTGTATTCGAACCTGACATACTTACAATTTGTTTTTCCCAAAAACATCAGCTCCCTGAGGGTTCATGTAACCTCGTAGTTGAAATATGCTCATTGAAAAAAAAAAAAAAAATTCTTGGCTCTTGGGGCCCATTAGACAGAACCCTCAGACACGTGTATACTTTCTGATCTAGTATCACAAAAAACGTTTCGTTGAAATCAGTGACCCCCCCCCCCCATGTGAATGTAGTCTCCACTAGGAGTCAAAAGCAAATTCTGATAAAATTTATGTCTTTATTTTAATTTTAGTGTAATAAAATATTTCTTTTTTATAAGGAGTAAATTTAATACATTATTTTTCAAAATGTTTCTTTATAGAGCAATTTTAAAATAGAGAAAAAACTTACTATTCTGTGTTAATTTTGTAGAGCAGACATTTGTTTGTATTGTAAAAGAATCCTTATTTGTAAGAGTGAGCCCATTTGTTGCTGGTTTAGTACCATCTTCAAGCTCAGAACGTGTTGAGGGCAGAGCGAGATAAGCGATATCTTTAGGATCATACTTCTTATGGTCTACTTTATACACGAGCAACTCGTGTACCGTGTCTGCAAGTGTTGTCCCATTTTTTTGCATAAGCTTGACGTAAGAGAGTGCAAACGGTTTCTCGTTTTTATCCTTAGTCTCATTGGACGACCTGTGCTTGAAGGTAAACCGGAGATGGCTGATCTTGAAGTCCTCAATTGGTATTGCTATTTTACATGTCTCAGCCCACCTTGGTTTATCCTCATGGTAATAAACGACGGATCTGTATTCACTCTCTTCTCCACCATTTTGAATGACTCCCTGAAAAAAAAAATTAATTTATATTTTCATTCTTAATTGATAGGTACAATAAAGAAAATCTTAAGAACTACTGAAAAACTATTTTGCTTTTTGAAAAGTGTTGCTGTTTGTCTAAAAATAAACCACAAATTAGATTTTATGCCTACAAATAAAATAAACTTTGCTAATCAATCGACAAAACATGTTTACAGCAGTTATTTTCAATTTCTGTGAGAAAAATAAAACAGCATTCCCTACCTGGTGACAGACCAACAATTAAGTGAAATTTTACTACATATATGAATAACAAGAATGTGTTGCAGGTCAATTAGATCAATGAAAAATCATATTGATGATTTTAACATTGAGATAAATCTAACCAAAGCAATATGTTAGATTGATGCAATAAAAATCAATTTAAAGTTACAAATAAGTGTAATAAATAGAGCTTGGACTTGTACGCAATTGCAAGTTGCTAAACCTTATGACCATGGTGAGCAAATATTTATCCAAATCATATCTCAGTGGTTTAAATTTATTCTACAATTGGAAGAATAAATTGCATAAATCTGCATATTTGAAGAATATCGCAAATTTGAAACATTTTTTATTACTAAGATAAATAAAAATAAACTACATAACTAAGAATATGAGAGGAAAAACAAAAGAGCCTCAAATTTTAGTTGGATTTTGACACAATAAAATTTTCTTGGAATAATCGGCATCTTATCTGAAGCCCCTATTCCCAAAAGTTCAGGGTGCAATTTTTTTGCCATTCCTGAAAAATTAATTTTTCTGAAGTAGTGGTGTTGTGGAAAGAAAAAGGAGCCTGATTAAACACAAAAATAGTAAGTGTGCCTCATTCATATTTCCAAGTCAGTAAACCTAAAAAAAAGCCAAAAGTGGTAACTTCAACGTCTTTTAAAATAGCATGCTGGATTTTTCCTTTCAACGCAAAACATAAATCCCCATTGATGCAGGAATTATATCACAAAAGAAATTAAAACATTTTTGACAAATATACCAGATTGACTAAATTATGACTTGAATGAATGAAACCTTAAATGGAAACAATTAGGTTGTTATACAGGGAATCGACGATCTAATTATTTTAAGTTCCCACAAGTATGCTCCCATCACTTCTATTGACGTTGGAACTTTTTTCAAGATACAAATATTTTTTGTGTGATAAACGCTGTAGTTTTACAAAAACTAACTTTGAAATGTACATAATTGTTAATTAATTCAGATCATTCATTTAATAAAGCCCAATTATTTATTTTGTTTAATATTTTAAATTAAAATATGATTATTGGGTGACAGAAATGTTTATATTCTATTTCCTTTTAAAATAAATAGGTATGTACTAGACCCCAAAAAAATATTTAGATTAAAGAAAAAAGTTAATCATTAGTCAGGTAATGTCTCTGATATTCATCCTGGGTTATTTTAATATTAGCAAATTATATGGCTTATTTGAGGGTCTTTTTAGTGCAATATAATGTTGCATATTTGAGGGGGGTAGCACATATTATATGTTATATTTGAGGATTTTTATTACATATAAATCTGAGCTCTAGTAATGAGTAAAAGAACTATTATTTTTGAACTGATATTTATTTTATCTAATAATACAAAACTTATAGCATGTATGATTTAATTTATTTCATGATGAATAATCAATCAAATATCAATGAATGTTTGATGTTTCACTAGTTCTATTTAGCTTTAGTAATGAGTAAAAAAAACTATTATTTTAAAACTGATATTTCTTATATTTAATAATGTAAAATATATAGCACGTATGATCTAATTTGTTTTAGATAAATATATGATGAAAGATATAAGATGAATTATCTTCAATTACGTTTCACTAGCGTTGCTTTTAAATATATACTCTAACCTACAGTCTGTTGTATGTTCTGTAATCTAACAAAAAATTCTGTCAATTGGGTTGTAAAAGTTTGTAAAATTTAAAGGACTGATCAGCATTCTGCCAACATTTTGTGGAATATGTCAGGGTTTTGGGTGGGAAATATATTTGACAATGTACCGTTTTTTTGTTGTAATATTTTTTCCTATATGAAATTGCATAGAGTAGGTTATTTTTCTTTTCTTTAAAGACAAAGGTGATTTGGGACATTGTCGAACAACCCTCACCATAATATGTTTTTTATATAAAATAATAATAATAAAAAATAAAAAATAATAATCAAGCTACAAAGCTACACTACACAGTTAACACACAAACAGTTACTTAAACATAGTTAGACAATGATATTGCCTTATGACATGTGCTGATAAAAAACTACATAGTTCTGTCGGTTATTGCACCAGAATTCACTATATAAATCAATACAGGTGTACATTACTCAGGAAAAACAAAGGTACCTTTAAAACATTTTACATATGGTTTATATTTTATTGTAATAAAGTTTTCAAATGTGAAGAATGCCTGAAAAGTGGGAATCTAATTACAAATTGTTAAATCAACCACTTTCATACCTAAGTTTTAATTTTCAGAGTAGAACATGTTCAAAACGTCTTTTAGTTTGTTATTGTAAATTTAAAACTCATGGAAAAACAATATGAAAGAATAAAATGAAATAAAGAAGGGTGCAGAGCAAAACAAGAAAAAAAAATAAGGCTCAAAATGAAGAAGTTATTTACAAAACTAATCTTTGGGGTTACTTTTATTCTTAGACTTACCAAATTTGAGCAACACTACAATATCCTAGAACCAAAATTAAAAACCTTTTATCATATTTCGCCCTTAGTTTTTTAAAGTTAAATATGTAAACATATACATTTTGTGTTAAGCAATTGAAAGTACTGTTTAACTACCTTTAAAGTTTCTCCTTTATCGTTATGGACACTAACTGAAATTTGGACATTTTTATCAGTCGTTTTCGAGCCCTTAGAGAATTCTCCTCCAACCAGTGTGAGATAGAGATCGTTTCTAACATCGCCAGGCAGGATGACCTCAGGGAATCCCATTTTCCTAGCAACTGAGACTTGCCCTAAGACAAGGTGTGGATTTTCCTCCCTGATCTGTAACGATTGGTATTTAAAAACACAGTTGTAATACAGCAAATGTTTTAAGTTACCTGCTTCAGGTCTCCATGGTGCATCTTCAACATGACATTCAATCCTTGCCCTTTGTGATCTTTATGTGTTAAATCTTTGGTTGTTAAAATTCTCTTTAAGGTACCTTCCAAGCTGTCTTTTTCACACCTGAAATATTTACATATGAACAACCGCCACACAAAGGGTTATGTTGTTTGCATACATGAGAAGAGGAAGGGTAACAGGGTCTTCTTCAGCTTGACCTAACTTTCCATTTATAATTAGTGTAATGTCTTTTGCAGCTACACCAAAAGGTCTTCGCATAAAATCAGATGAGAGTAGTGTGGTATTGTTGCTAGGTTTGTTATTGGATTTAATATTGTTTTCCATTCCTCCAACTCGCACAATATAGCATACAAGATAAACCTTTTCCCTATTAATATCTCTAGTTCCTAAATCCTGAAAAAATATAATAAAGATTAATCAAATCATAAATCATCTATATACATTTTTGTTAAACTTAATATATTCTTATAACTTACAGTGTACAGGACCCGATTGTTTTCAAGTTTTCCCCATCGAAAGACATGATTTTCTGTAAAAGGTCTGTTCTCTTTGGCATCGTAGAGGCAGAGAAGGAGTTCAAGTTCCTCATTTACCTTACACTCCAGTTTGGTCGGGTTGACAAAAAGAGCATGACAGAATTGTTGAATTTGTGGACGTTTCTCTTCATGAGATGGAGCGCTTTCCGTCTGCAACAAATTCGTGTCAAAATCTTTTGCAGAATAGGCACAAATGAACATACTGCATACCATCGACTTGAGAATTCTTTCATTGGCAAGTTGATGATGGCGGTAAAGTTGTACTGTGGATGTTACATCAGGGTTCAGTATGTTTCCATGCTCATCCCTTACCACCATATCCAGACCAAGTATCCTTAAAAAATTAAAATTACGTTAAACGTAAGTAAAATTGAAATATTATGCTGCTTACTTGTTTCCAATGTCGATTTTGTAAGTAAGAATTCTTTTTATTTGTTTCAGCTCGTCTACTGGAAATTTTCCCGATATAATTTGGCTTCGGTAAGCCATGAGTTCGTACATTTTTGACCTTATAGGTCGAAAATGTTTGCTGTTCCTCTAAAAAGTGTATTTCATTGAAACAGTTGTAAAAAAAATAATAATAATAACTATTTAGAGATAAATAATAACTAATTAATTACCACATAGAGGTTTCTTATTAAAGACCCCCATTCTCTTAATACTGATGTGACCTCTTGGACTATTTGGGGCTGGTTGAGAACAATTTCCTCAGTGGGCCTATTTTCAACCTTTTGATGTTAATTGGCTCTTATATATTTATAAATACATATTGATACGCACCCACTGCGATCGATGGTCGCCTCTTTGACTTTGACATAACTTTTAGGAAATATGCCTTTGTTTAACTTGTTTTTTGTTGAAAATCCATAATACCAGTCGCTGCTTTTCTGGAGTAAGACTACACTTTCGCCGAGTGTAACCTTCAGTCTGTGCAAGCCGTCTTGATTGAAATTTTGGACAACTGAGCAAACAATGGAGAATAAAAATAACATATAATGATGAATGAAATATTATTTTTTAGATTCATTCAAGAAATATGAATCAGTACACATTACAAATTACCATGTAATGACTTTCATTCCAAATAGATAACTTTGTTACATGTGAATACCTTGTAAAATTAATTAGCATAGTTAATACATTATTTTATATCTTAATGACTAATTGATTGACAAGTTGGACATATATAATTCATCTTTATTAAAGCATTTTGGAATATTTACTTCATTACATAGAACTAACTGACTGCTAACCCTATAATATTTTGGTCATTATCTTCCAAATTCCAAATAAAAGAATTAAAAAACTGTTTAAAATAAATATCTACAAGTCGTAGTTTCGCTGAACACAATTGTAAAAAGGATTATTTAATACTAATTTCTTCAATTATTCAATTATGGGCAAATATTTAGTTTATGTAGATATATTATAGATTACTAAATTATGAAATTAATTTTTGCTTATGTTATATGAAAATTCATAAGATTTCTATTTTTAAACTTAGAATTGTTGAATTGCGTTTTTCCTCTACTGAAAAAAACAACAACAGAAAATTACATATTAATTTAAATATTTTTAATGTTGTTTTCTTAAATCTTCTATCAAATAAAACTAGAATATTTAATTAAAAATAAGTTTTCATTTATTTAGCGGATACTATGAGATTACACAACACATTATTTGTCAATAAATTCCTTTTTAAATATAAATTGTCAAAGAGGTGTGAATGACTTAAGGTCTTGTTAATTGATTAATTCTTGCACATTCCAATAATTTAATTATAATGGTTTCCCATTCAATTCTGCTATATGTTACATATATATGCTCTGAATAGCCAAGTCCTATCACATGGTGAAATGCTGGTGGTCAAAGGACCCCTTACTAAATGGTAGCACAAAGAAAGCAAATGTATGTAAGAAAAGCAAAAGTATATATTGCAAGAGCAGCCGGGACGTCCCAATCTCCACGATCCGGCCCTCTGATGCTAAAAATATGATTAAAAGGAAGCAGCAGCTTCGGTGGCCCGGATCAGCAGAGATCTCACATCCCACTGATGATACACAGCTCTCAGAGGTCTCATAGATGAAGGATCATCTCACCTGATAAGGTCAAGGTTGATACGGGCACTTTTGCACCGCATATGTGTTCGGCATGTACCTCGATGAGTCCCATTACTTGAAGGGTACAATTCCTTGGCTCGATATAGAGGGCGTGCAGGAATGCCATTCAATATAAGAATTGTGGCAGCAAATATCTGTGTCCTCTGTTCCAATTGTTAGAGGAAATAAGGCAGTTTTATTGCATATAGCACTGATAGTTTTATGACCCCTAGCATTGGAAGTGAATGTATTTATTGGTGTGTAGTGTGAGTAGGCCAATGGAGGAATATTGAGTATCTCATCAACCTTCAATTAGGTTAGTTATATAATAGCTGTAAAAGGTGATGGAGAAATATCAAGTTCTGTGCCTAGCCAACATAATGAATATGTAAATACAAAACAATGTATTTAAGAGTGACTGAGATGGGTTTAGTTCTAAGGAACTGATTGCATTGTGGGCTGAAATGACCTAACTGTTGAAAGCCCCTGGATCCCAACCTCGTGACTGAATGGATAAGACCGAGGTCTGACCAATACCCAGGGTGGGCGATTCTCGAAGCATGCCGATAATGTATTGTAAATTACAAAAGTAGGAATTGCTGCAGACTGTGAGAAGCGATAGATTCAACTGTGCAAGCGTAATATGTACATGCATGTAATGGCAAACCAACAAATGGCTTATGACACTGTCAAAAAAAAAAAAAAAAAAAAAAAATTTATTATGTATAATTAAAGAAGTTGTATTTTTCCTTTTTTGTATGTAAAAAAGATTCTTTCATATTGAATTTACAAAACAAGTTGTTGCACAGCTGAAGAGAGTTGAATATGATTGAAAAAAGAATAACATATTCAGTTCACAAAAAATTATACAGAGCCACACATGTATAGTAATTTCATAGCGTTAAGTTTTGTGTGTAAGCATTGCAATTGTTTGTTTATGAGTGATAAAAAAATTAGGCATTAGCTAAATCGCTCTGCTTGCTATTGATGAGCCGAATGCAAATAAATTATGAGTAGTGAATATAAATGAGGATATCCTACTCCCTCCTATGTTAGTTCAGCCTTCCTCTTCCACCTGACAAATTAATTAACCAAAAAAAAGATCTCACAGCAATTAACCATCATTTACCTCCGGTGGGATAATGAAAATTTTCAAACTTTGGGGTGAACCGAGGTAAACCTTTGGAAAACAAAGATGACGATGGGGGTAAAAAAATCCACCAGCGCCTTGGGCACGAACAGATACATTATCCTTCCTCGGAATGAATATCTGTTTTTATCTTATCTATTTAAATATTATTACAATTATGAATATATTTTTAATGTTATATTTATTTTTTTTAAGTCATTTTTGTTAATAATCGAATGTGGTATTTTTTAAAGTCAATGTGATAAAGGGTATAAGAACAAAATCAATGTTAAAATGTTAGATTGGGTTGTAACAAAAATATATTTTTTGTGGAACTTGTAATTTTTAAAAAAGCACAAAAAATAGCTAATTAATATTATGTATGTTAAAATAATGCAAGAAAACAGTGAAATATTTTATTTTTATTATTATAGTCAAAAGGAAACCTTACCAATAGCGAATCTTTCTGAATCGTTTGTCAAACTCCATGAATTGGTCATTTTTCAGTCAAAACATGAGGATTGCATAAAAAAGTCACCGAGAGAAAAATCGTGAAATACTTTTTAAATATAGATTTAGTTTATTGTGAATAAGCAGGGCCGGACAAAGCACTTGTTTTTGTATGAAATCATTTCTTTTCCCTTTATTGTTTATCGTGTAACAGGCGAGGCGAGGTCGACTGACATGAGGTGGTTGGGAGGGGAGAAGGACCACAACGTGTGGAGGCAAATGATCCTGTGTGGAGGGGAAAGGAGATCGATTCTAGCGCTGCTAGAATCTATTCAAAACAATTTAAAATAAATTAATTGTTTAATTTTTCAATGTTCTATGAAAACTAGAATATTTTCTTTATTCCCACTTTTCTTTTTGCATTTTTTAAAAAGATTTTCTTCATAAAAAAAACCACCTATCGTCAATCGTTATCTGAAAAGTTCTGCAGATAAAAATACTTAATTCAAGTACCAAAAGATTATGAAAAAAAAAAAAAAAACATATTTCATATAATTGTTTGACAAAAACATTAATAATTTCATAAATTTATTTATTTTAATCTCTTACAGTCTCAGACATACAGATGGGGGTTGGCCTTCATTACATACAACAATACACAATAGTAATAATTATTCTTTTTATGTAATGTCTTGGCTGAGATGACAAAGTTCTTTATATTATCTATAAATGTTAATTATTACCAATGTTACTACTGCATTTTATTGTATGCCATGCTAGGAAAAATTTGTTTTATTTTCTTTACAAATGTATATTATTATTACTCCATTTATGTTTAATGGTCTAATTGATCATGTTACTTATTTCAATTAATTATTCTTTTTATGTAAGGTCTTAGTTGAGATGAAAAAGTTAGTGTCATGAGCGAGATTCAAACCCATGACCTTTGGCTCAATACTGCAAGTCTATACACTAGACTAGTCACGAAGCTCAAGTGGTGCAGTGGCATATTGAGCCGAAGGTTGTGGTTCGAATCCTGCTCGTCTCCCTAACTTTTTCATCTCAACCAAAACCTTATATAAAAAGATTAATTAATTGAAATAATTAATATGGTCAATCAAACCACTGAACATAAATGGAGTAATAATAATATACATTTGTAAAGAAAATAAAACAAATTTATCCTAGCATGGCATACAATAAAATGCAATCGTAACATTGGCAATAATTAACATTTATAGGTAATATAAAGAAAATAAAACATATTTATCCTAGCATTACACCCGATTTAAATCACCAGTAATAATAACAATATACATTTTTAGATATTGTAATGAAAATAAGACAAATTTATCCTGACATTATATACAGTATAACACACAATTAATAATAATAATAATGATATTGTAAAGAAAATAAAACAAACTTATCATGGCAATGTACAATACAATAGTAATAATGTTAATAAACATTTATAGATATGATAAAGAAAATAAAACATAAAGCTAACAAGCTAATAAAAATTGCTCATATGTTTTAGAATATATTTAACAAAAATTATATATTATTTAGTTTGTCTAGTTCACTTTATTTCATAAATAAATAAATAGCTTTCTTATTAAATTTAACAGAAACTTAAATCATATCATCGTTTAAATTTAGCTTTGATGGACCTGCCATTGTCAAAAAGTTTCAAAATTTTTCAGATATTTAATATATTCTTTTTTGCAATAAAGAAAAAACATTGTCTTAGGCCATACTTACAAGATTGCACATAGGATCAAGTACACTTTTTTGGGGTGAGACCGTGCAGGTCCATTGTATGGTCTCGGGAGAGCACATAATAATAATCTACGAATTTCAAATTAATTAAATTCATTCGCAATAAAAAGTAAATTCTTTTAGAGTTACTGGGGTGCATCTGTGGAATTCCCTTACGCGGTATATTAGGTCGCCTCACCTCCTTTGGGCTTTCAGGAGTGAAGCTTTCAACTTCAATCAAACTAATGAATGTGATTTAATGTGATGTAGTCGCTATTCTCTTTTTCTTCTCTCTTTTATATTTTTCCTTTATACCTACTTCTTGTTTTCATTCATTCTATTATGTTGAACCTGAATGGTCTATCGCTAATATCAAATATCTTTGGGCCATAAATATTTTTAATTGTATATCTCGTTCTTTTAGGTATGTGATATATGTTATTTATTTGCATGAATGGAAGGGCTTGTTCCCCAATTACCTCCAAGGAATATTGAGTACTCTGGAGTTATGTGAATGTAATTTATTAGCATGAATGGAAGGGCCAATCCCCAATTACCTCAAGTAATATCGAGTATTCTCGGATATTATAAATGAATTGTAATGTGTGCATGTAATTTATTAGCACGGAAGTGAGGCTTATCACCAATTATCCTAAGGTATATCAGGTACTCTGGGGTAATGTGAATGTAATTTATTAGCATTTTTCTATTTTTGCCATATTTTTGACTTTTCGGGATTCAACAAGATGTTATTGAAGTGAGCCTATTTTCTACTAGGTTTACTCTCATATTTACTCTTATTATGTTTATTGCTGATTTTTCCAAACAAGATCATCAGGAAATGCAAAGACTTCAACTTTAAAGGGATAATTGACTTTTAGTTACATTATGTTCCAAAAGCCCGGCCCACAAAATAACCCCTGTTGACACTGGACAGCAGTTCTCCTGCTTTTGGACAACATTTACTGAGCTAATGTTAATAGATTGCTTTTGGCCAATTCGTACAAATTATCTGGCATCGTGGCATACCCCCAATTACCCCAAGGGTGTAGAGTACCCTGTGGTACAGTGTATACTAACTATATTATTATGTTTTATCTGGTTATATGTATATTTTTAATTTGTGTTATTTTATCCACAATTGACAATGCCCTGAGGTACAGAGAGGCTAGCAATACGATAAAGAAAGAGTTGATTACAATTATATCAAACAACATCATCATATGCTTGAAGAATTGAAAAAAGAAATTAGATGAATTAAATGAAGAAATTAGAAGGATTAAAATGTGAGAAAAAAAGAAAAATAATTGAGGGCTAGTGATGACCAGTGTAGTGACTAGTTGAATGAGTTTCTCTACAACATAGCAAAGGGAACAACTTAAATTTCTCTACTTTAATTCAAAGTGTCAAAGTGTAAGACATTTTATACAAAACAAATGCACGCAAATAAATTTATAATATTATTTCATTCAGCACAGTTTCAACATTCATTTATTGATCTATAATGCATAATGTTGGTTAAAATTTATCATTTCATTAAATCGTTGGTGGATTTGGTGGACATTTGATGGCTTCTTGTTTCTCAAAGTCGTTAAAATTGAGGCCGGCTACTTCAACAATGTGTTTTATTTGGTCCAGAGACCTTGTGTCCCCTGGTGATCTAGTCGCTATCCAACTTCTTTCTGCAAAAATAAAAACAAAAAATGAATTAAATAAATTGTTTTTATTTGTAAAAAAATAAATTCGTACCTGCAACTAGCCCAAAAGCTTCTTGGCAGGAGTAAAGAACTGCAAAATGATTATAATCTGTGCCCAACACTGTAATAGGGATATCAATGCTTCTCAGACCTGAAATTATTAAATTGCTCAAACTTGATTTTTTTAAAACTAATTTTTGCGTTATACCACTTATAAAATCATATTTGATATAGTAGTTGGACATTTGTATCTCTGTCACATTGACAACTCCTCTAAGGTGAATATATTTTCCAACCCTGTAACAAAAATAATAAGGAAGATGTATCTCAAGTAAAATTACTCTCATATAATATTTAATATTGTGAAGTAATGTGGATGACTATGTTGAACATTTGTTTACAGTTTTGTCACTCCTGATCATCTTGACCTGCTTTTTCTTATCCTACCAGAATCCAAAAGTTGTAAGGACAAGGATAATCAAAGATCATAAAACCACTTACAAATCTACTAATCACTACACTCAATATAATAATGTCAAAAATTCACTGTGAGATGAATTTTACTCTTTCAACTCATGAAACTCAATTGTTTAATAAAATTTCTAACGATGACCATAATTAATTTAATTATGATTAATTAAGGTTTTTAGTTGAGATAAAAAAGTCAATGGCATGACCGGGATTCGAACCCACGATCTTCGGCTTGATACGCCGCTGCTCTTCCACTTGAGCTATCATGACCTCAAGTGGTAGAGCAGCGGCGTATCAAGCCGAAGATCGTGGGTTCGAATCCCGCTCGTGCCATTAACTTTTTTATCTCAACTAAAAGCCTTAATTAATTATAATATATGAATTGGTCAAGCGGACCACAAAATTAGTGAATTTAATTAATTTAATTGTTTAATAGTACTGCACTCACATCGGTTCATACTGATAGTTCAAAACATTAGCCTCGTCTCCTTTAATTTCTGACACCATTGTACCACATATGCCGCCAGCCTGTAGTAAGAAGTTTCCTGAGCTCATCAGCCCATGCCATTTCCCTGTGAAAAACTGAAAACAAAATCAACTCCAGTTTAGAATAATTGAAAATATTAACGAAAACTCACCAAATCCGGCTTAAAATCAGTTTTATAAGTGTTGAATTTGCAACTTCCGATTTTCAACGGCATGTACGGTGGCTTGAAATACTTGATCCAGTCTAGAAATGGCAAAGCCGAGGCGGAGAAAACAGCTAAAGAGAAAACAAATCTGAAATTTTCAAAATAAATTAAGCCAACAGCAATATGATAAAAAACAAAATCAAAATTTGACAAACCCACATTTTCAAATACATTTTGTTGAAATAATAATTGATAGTAATAGTAAAAGAACTATCTTTTAAAGAGGAGGTCTAGCAACTGATAGATCATAGCTAAATCACTTATATAAACCTTTTTTTGTTTTAGATTGCCTTAATACTTCAAATTGAACGATAAAGACAGGTAAGAGTTTTGCCCTGATTCAAGTGTTTAATTGCATATCTACTAGAATCCACTTCAATGGTAAACATTTTCACACCTCATTCCAGACACAACAATGTGGTAATAATGAATTAGTCATAAATGGTGTTTTTATGCTTTTTAAAATTACTATTTTTTATTAATTGTAATTGAGCATTTTTAGTTATTTAATCAAGACTTCACCCTCATTTTGGTAACCAGACTACCTTAATGACAAAATATCATTTTATACAACAATTTTCAATATAATTATGCATTTTTTACTCTATTAGGTTTTGTGATAGTTTCCTACATTAAAGAACCATTAAACATATTAAATGTGCGATACATTTGCCTATGTCCCATATTTTACTCATTAAGCCAGTATTTGACTTATCACATGAGTGATAAATTTGCCTAATGATGTCATCAGGGGTCGTATCACTTGTGAGTTACATTTGACACAGGATGTCACCATTGTCTGTATCCCATGTGTCATACTGCAGGAAGTCATGCTTTTAATATGTTAGAATTAAGTGTAGGTATCACATGTGTAATACATCCACTGTAAAATGTTGACATGTAGATCCAGAGTACCTCTGAAATGGCTTCCAAAATCACACTTATTCTTGGTAGATTGATGACCAATATTGGGGGGCCTATTAGTGAGTATGCGTGCCTGCTAATACTAGTTTCAATCATGCACTACAAGTGTGTTAGGCCAAAGCACTAAAAAATATAAATATTGAATAAAAAATGGCTCCAATGAAGGGGAGCCTTAAGAATAGCAGTATCCTACAGGAAGGTTTTCAAGCCAGCAGACCTGGTGGTTGCGTAAGTGATCCCTATTGACTTAATGGCTCTGGATAAAAAATGAATCAATGACCACAGGGCTAAACTTGGCATAGACGAGGCAGGAAAAAAGGTCAAAAGGAATACCTCATGTAAATGGAAGGAAAGGAGGCCCTCCTACACACAAGATCCCACCCTATGGTTCAGAGGTCGACTACTTTGTCACTCAATTCCTGATGGGACTCGGGTATTTCTGCTTGTAGCAGGAAGGAGAAGATGGAAGAACCTTTGTGTATTTTCAGCGACTCCCTGTGGGATGACGCTCACCATACTTTTTTTAATGTGAAGGAGAGCACCACAACGCCTTGAACTCGATGCAGTCATAGGACATATCACACCAGAAAATGTCTTCCCAATCATTATTGGGTCTCACAACATCTGTGAGGATGGCAGCGTTTATAAAGACAGTCCTGCAAAGAAAGATGAAGCTCAGTTGTCCAGAGGTCTGGCCGATCAGGTGATAAATCTGAATCTGAAGGTGGCTTCTAAGTCCTTTTATGTGGCTCCATCCTGAAAAAATGCTCATAGGAGTTCAAGTATGGGAAAAAACTTGGTTTTGGGTATGGTTTTGTTAGTGGGCTTTACTATTAAATATGAACAATTCAATTACATAGAATACAGTTGGATCCCACTAATTAAAAAAAATTGGGAGTTTGGGACTGAATCCTGTTTAAATAAGTCAAATAACTGCAATAAGACTGTTTGATTAGTTTAAACAAGCAATAAAACTTAGCAACTTTTACCTGATTTTCATTTTTACATCAAAATAATCAACATTTTGCAAATTAAAAAATGTTCTCTCAGACACCGAAATGAGTTTCGACTAGTACAAAGCTATTGTATTTCAATAAATTGCTTTAAAATTGAAATTTATTTAATATTTGTTAGCATTATTTAGGACATCATTGTTAATCACATCAAAATAATCAGTCTCAAAATTCCTGGAAAGGTCTTATAAATTTAGTCATTTTTATCTTTATAAATAATAAAAATTAAAGACAAAAATTGTTAGTTAATCCATATTCCAGGTGTACCATATATGCAAAAAGAAAAAAATATGTTATTACTAGTTTTTAAGATTAAATAACCACTTGAGCTTATCCTTCATTTCTACCATTAAGAACTATTAATTTGAAGTACCTTTGTATCTTCAATTTCTAATGGTTTGTTTAAAAATTGATTGCCCCATTTAGGCCATACAAATATTAAATTATTAGTTTTATTAATTAACTATTGATTCTGATAAAGTTAGGATGCTAGTTAAAAGCTATCCACTAGTGGTTTTCTTCTTCAGCCAATTATCCTCACCCCACAAATCAATTGTTTTAATTTGCTTTTGTCTTGTATAAAAAATAAATTTAATAATAATAAGGCGATGATTATTATTATAAATTCATATGGAACTGAAAACTCTGTCAAAGAATTAATTAAGAACTTAAGCAATTAAGTTTACAACTTACAAAATCCAAACATTTAATTTTTTTTTAAAACTGATCAAATAGGTTTTTCAGATATTATAAATTCACGTAATGTTACGGCTCTCAAAAATACAGTTACTTGAGTCAGTGTATTTGTTCTTATTAATTTCTATTTAATTTATACAATAGTTTCTAGAGTCCGAAATGACACGGACAAAGAACAAGAATATTCCATAATAAATTTACATTGTTTATTTTTATTATGCCATATAATATTGAAAGGTAAAATTAACCTGGAATAAACAGGTTTTCAAAAATGTATTGCATGAACGTCTAATTAGTGACTCTAGTGGCTGTAATAATTGTAGTTATGATGTCACGATTCCAAGCATCACAAAGTTGGATGTTTAAGCAACAAATATTGGGATAATCAATGTAAATATCCCTATGGCCATACACAGCGGTTGTTAGACTCCCTGATAGCCTACAGATCAGTTCTTCGGGTGGACAGAGACATTACAGAGTGAAGGTCCTCAGTACTGTTCACAGGCTAGTGTGCTTGAGGGGGCAATGAGAACAATAAAGTTTTCTTGTTATGTATTACTAAAATGGCATATTAATCATGTCAAGGGATGAGTCCCATCATTTTGGTTCTTTCTAGACAATATATCGCATTGGGGGGGGGGATCCCAGAGTATTCTGGTTAGACAGAACAGCTATAGAAAATTGCAGGATATACATAGGAATCCTTAAAAAAGCTTGAGATGCACAATAGACCAAAACTTGTCATGATGCGGAGGTCGAAAAAAGGCTATTTGGCATCTATGATTTCAACATTTGATCAAATGTATAAGGTGAAAAGTATATATGCTCCTTCTGAGAAACTAAATAATTGACAAAGGTATAAATAATAATTATAAGCATTTTCTTTGAGTTGGGTACAATTTTTTTATTACAAATAATTCAATATACAAATGCTTAAAAAAATTTAACCCACACCTTCATGTCAACCTTTCCCTCCTTGCTAAATCCATTTTGCCCACTTTTTCCCACATTTCCCTCGTTAATTTCTTTTCTCCATAACTGAGCGAGGTCCATCTGGCAAGAATTATCAAGTTGTGGAGGTCATCAGCCGTTGCATTGAATCTTTGTCTTAGTTTTACAAAATCATCTTGGATCAGCTGGGAATTTTGTTTGAAGTTAGTTATTATTTATTTCTATGGCAAGATAGAACAAGTACCTGTAGAAGATCTTCAGGTAGTTCAAAATCGGCCATGGAAGCTACTGTGAGGTACAGCCTTAGTTTCGACAGCAAGGGCTCTTGGAGATACATCAAGATGGAGTCGAAAACTTCAGTCGTTACCGAACAACTTGGATCAGGTTTTAATGATACTTTGCAATCGCTCTAAAAATAAAAAACCGTTTACACAAATATATTTTATAAAATGAAAAATAATAGTATATTTACAGGCAAAGCAGATTTTCCCTCAGATAGGATAAGTATGGGAATGTCCGTATCAAACTCGATGCTGTAATATTTAAAGTCATAGTTGATCTTTTGTTGAGATATTATATACATCATAGTTTTAAAGTTTTGCACACCTAAAATATTTTACAATTGAATCGACATATCTTATTATTATACTATTTAGGATTTCAACCTTTTTCTTCTAATTTCCCTGTTTCCAATTTTGTCTCATCGATGACTAAGTGAGTCTGGCTGCTTAGTTGAAGCAACCCTGACTCTAATCTATCTAAATCGTAGTTTTTCCTGTCATATAATAATCATTACAAAATAAGTATGAACATATTTAAATATTTAAATAATTGTCAAACCTTGGTGACATATTAGTTGTGTTCATATTTCTAAGCGTCATCGGAAACAAATAGGACTTGGGTACAAGCTTTTCCAAAACTCTGTATAAATGATGAGGGTAACTCAAACCGTTGTTCATTGGTATGTTAAATAAATTCATTGACATTTTCCCTAAGGCTAAACAGTCTTGCCTCTTATATCTAAAATTATAAAAAAGAAATTATTTAAAACCATACAAAATTTTCATTTTAAATTAAACCTCACATTCTGGCTAAGAGGTAACATATAAAAAAATCTGCTGCGAGATGATCACCTAGAAATAATTGAGAAAGTACTAAATGGAGTTCTGACCTCAAGGCTTTAGCTTCACTCAACACTTCATCTGAAAAATAATAAAAACAATACATTTGAGCAATATTAAAGCAGAATTTAGTTTTACTTCAGTTTACAAAATACCTGAATTTGTAGTTTCGGTATACAAAGGATTAGAGGTTTTTAACTCTCTGAAAGCAACAGCATGGAGCCTTGGAATATTTCTTACAGGTGGATCATCTGCATCATCTTGAGGAATTTCATTGCGGTAAGCAAAACCGACAACCTCGATTGTATCTGTAACTTTTATATTTTGTGGAATATCTTCATAAAACTGAAACAGATTGTAAAAATATTTATTTTATATTTATAAATTGAAATCAATTTGTACAAATGCTTACATGCACTATACAACTCATGTTCGTAGGATCAGGGATTGGATACGATTTTTCTGCGGGTCCGGACAATTTACTGTGGCCTCGATCTGTTCGGTACCGTTTTGAATCACTGAGAAATTGTGTAATGCATTAAAATATTTAATCTTTGTGGCAAACTATACTTACTGTTCTTCATCAGTTTCCATTGCCTCGATGTTACGCTTTTCAGGAACCAAATTGCTAGAACTTTCTGCAGGCAGAATTTTCTCTTGATTTGGATTCTAATATTGAATTAAGGCAAATATAATTCATCAAATATAAAAAATTTCCATATTCTATGAAAGGATACAAGTTGTGCCCAGTTATTCAGTCCAGGAATAGTGATGCAATAATACGGTTTTCTTTGTGCATTGACACAATTGGCCGAATCCATTATCAACTCCTCTCCTTCCTGAAAATAATAAAAATTGATAAAAACATTTCAAAATTAAACAGCAAATACAAAAATCTTACCACACAATCAAGGAAGTCAACGTATTTTCCACACCGCTGTTGAGTTTCACCCGTTGCTGTATTACGCACTTCATAAGTGGCATAAAAATAAATAGGATCTAACATGTCTTGCACCATCCCTCTAAATTTATAAATCTGCCCCTCAACAATATCCGATGGAGTTCTTATAAGTTGTATCTATTTATAACAAACAAAACAGTTAAATAAAGATTATAATGTGGCTTTTAAAATGGTAAATGCCATTTGGCATTTTTCCTATGCTTCATCCTGGTACCACCATAATTAATTGCTTGCACGATTTGTGATGAACATTGAACTATTTGCAGGTGTAACATCATACTTTTCTTCCTCTTCCAATTGCCTATATAATTTAAAACTGCTTAAATTTTTGTTCATTTGTCTCTGACAATTTATCTATTTTAGGATTTAAACTGTATTTAAATGTCAATGTGGGTTTTCTGGTTCCTTTGGCCTTTCTGGACTGCAGAAAATGAAGCATTGAGTTCACAACCTTGTCAGTTGGAGGAGCTAGACAGGTGAGTGCAGTACAACAGAGAGGCAGAGGACTTGGATAAATGAGTAGTACATGCTACCTTTATTTAGTAACATTTGAAGCAAATCAGGACTCACGAAATAATACCAGGCAATGAGTATGTAAGCAGTCCAATCTTAGCATAAGTTGGGAATAGTTGTTAATATAAGTTAAAAATAGGTGTAAGGAATTTTAAATATATGTTGGAAATAAGGACTTAAATATGACAGGTCGCCCACCTCATAGGGAACAAAGAGATATTTTCCACAAACCTGGAACTCATAGAAAACGACAGATGATCTCATTAAACCCCATTAAATAATAATGTCAAAGAGTTATTGGGTTGTCCGGAAAATAATGCAGGATTTTGGTATTAAACAAAAAAAAAGAAACTAGTTACTTTAAAGCAATGTTCTTTAATCAAAATNTGACATTCATACAAATGAGTAATCCTGTAAACGTAAACAGAATATTTTATATAGATTTTTTTTAATGAAAACTTAAAATCCTGCATTATTTTCCGGACAACCCGATATTTAATTTGGGAGGGTTGTCATAGGCACAATTCATCGACACAGGAAAAGGATTGTCAAGTAGCCACTTTCAGTCGGGGACACAACCAAGAAAGACCCAGCCATTGCAACAAGTCGAATAGAGTTGACTCTCAAGGATCCAGGGAGTTGCAGGAAAATCCTGGAAGTCACTGAAGGATGTGGAACCTGGTGTTGGCAAACATCATTTGGGGTAAGTCCTCTCGTATATAAGCTCATCCCCAGAGTAAAAATTATGGCTGACTTGCCTTGTTCCACTTTTTGTTCGTTTATTATATTATAAAGACATGCCAGTGTAACAACAAATGTTTATTGTATTTTTGAATATTCCTTACATTCCTCCCATACAAAAATCATCATCATGCACAGTTCATAATGTGTTTTCTTTGGTGGATAATTGTGTACCATTAAGTCTATCGTTAACTCGTTAAGTGTACTATTTTTATACCTTATCCCAGTTGTCGTTTATGTATTTTAGAGAGTTTTCCAGGTTGGACTTGTACGATTCAACAGTTATCTGCCACATACTTATGTATTTAAAATAAAAATCCAATACAAGTTCAAGAACAGCAGACAAAAGACTTTACGATTAACACTAAGAAGGTGTGAAGAATGAGGAAAGGTTATCAAGTTGTTACGCGGTCGGCGGGAAATTATTGGCGGGAAGGCTCTATTTATCATTTATTATTAATAATCATAAAAAAATAAAAATTCCACTTTTAGTAATTTTATTGTTATTTTTGTTTATAATTGGTTTCATTTTGTAATGATTTTACATTGACATAGCAGCTCTTTGTTACTAAAAAGAAATCTTTTAAAAAAAAATTTACTTGTTTAATACTGTTTATTTTAGTTTTTTATGTTTTATGAACAATTTTAATTATAGCTTTTGAATTTAATTAAATACATATACTGTACTAACTGAACATTGAGGCCTAATCAATGACCTTGATAATTCAGGGAGGTTATAACAACGGTCGACTGTTACAAGTAGTTGATCGTTGTTTACACAACTTCATCCCATCATCCGAAGAATTTAGATATTTCTGAATATGTACGATTTGGACGAAGGTACCTGATTTCTGTTTTGTACCCCTTCCTATCCGATATTGACTGTGTTAATTGTAGACCAGTATGAGGAAGACGAGGCCGAGGAGATATCCTCCGAGCTGTGGCAGGAGGCCTGTTGGATTGTCATAAACGCCTACTTCGACGAGAAGGGTCTCGTCAGGCAGCAGCTCGACTCTTTCGATGAGTTCATCCAGATGTCGGTTCAGAGGATCGTAGAAGATTCGCCTCAGATCGACCTCCAGGCCGAGGCGCAGCACAACACCGGTGAAGTCGAAACGCCTGTAAGCCAGTTATTGTATTTACCGAACAAAAAGTCATGCATTGTATGACTACAATGGCGGTATGCTTTATAACAGAACTTAAAGAATGCTTTTGTCAATTCAAGACGTTGCCTTATCTCACAGTAATTTCATAAAGCGAGAAACACACCTGACATAATGCAACATGATGTGACCCAATGCTACCCAATGCCTTATCGCATGATGCCCACTCCATGTGATAATCACACGGTATAGATTGCAACAGTCAGTCACAGGACAGCGAATTGGATAGCTCTGAGAAATACGTAGAATAAATGGCAGCAGTAGCGACCTGCTTGCTTTCAATGGTGAACAGTAATACTTGGGTTTATGAAGTGAACCTTCCTAGAGATATTTCTGGCGAATATCATACATTGATTTCTACATTAGAAAAGGAAGAAAATTCTGATCGTTTAAACCTGTATTTTCGGATGATGAAACCACATTTGATTATCTACATAAAGCAAGCAGCAGGTTTTACCATACTCAAATAAAACATATCAATTCATTCATATTTTTCCATTTTGACTCACCTTCCTAACAATAAGCAAGTTTGAGCTTCTGGTCAATATTGTCTATTTAAAACAAAATACTTTATACAATTGTTAACAATTATTTAAACTTATTATGGTTAATTTGTTGTTCTTTTTTTATAATTGAAGATTAATAAAATCAGGGCTAACTTGCTGGAAAAGTGTGGTATTTAGTGATCATTAATTAATGATTATTTGGAGATAGTGAGATGCAGTCTGGTATGACGTAGGATTCAGAAAAACATTTTCTTTATAGTGCCAACGTTTTGATCTTTATTGAGATCACTTTCAGGGCCTGGGATTTTTTAAACATTGTTCAAATTATACAAATGCCTGTAAGATGTAAAAATGAATGTATACAATGATAGAAATTTAAGGTTGTATTCTTTTTTAGAGAGCATCAAGTTCAGAACACACACATGTAAATCCAGTCGCAGCTAAGACAATATCATTAATCAAATTCAATGTCATTAATATACATATAACACACAAAACATATAATGCAACATATAAAACAATCATTTCATTCCAAACATTTTTACATAGTCCAATTTTTCAACAATTTGTCTCTCCTTTCCCTAATAATCCCCGTATATAATAAGAGTCACAATAACCACATGGCTACCGCAGTCCCTTTTAAGTGTATATAAAGTACCCACAAAGCCTCAATTAAAGAGATAAACTAGGAGTCAGCACCTACACTCTGTCAAAGGCTGTTTGAGGTCTAGGAATATGGCAACTGTATGTTATTTCATCATGAACTTTCTGAATCCTCACTCAATTTGGAGACTCGGTGAAAAGTCCTGCTTTAAGCCAAACTAAATGTAGGAATCAGTTTGTTTGAGATAGGTAGGAGTCTGCATCTAAATCTTTAACATCAAGTTTATAATAATGCAGTAATAAATAGCAGTATATAATTAATGCTATTCTCCGTTAATGATAATTTTATAATAAAAGTGTGTACAAGTTCAGTATTATTCAGTACAGAGGTAGATTAACCGAAAATCACTTATTAGATATGCTCAGAGAGTAGTTGTAAGACATTCCTATTGCAGGATAAATTTGACTTTTTTATGACATATTAATATGTAATATTTTGGTTTTAATTGTAAAATTTTGTTTAACGATAAAAAATTAACTGTTGTCAGCCACGATACCTTCTGAAATTTGAACAAATCTACTTGTCCAAACCGACTCATTGGGAAAAGGATGGCTCACCTTCACCCATGATGCCCAATGTCGCTAGACTTAGAAATTTGACATATTCGGCCCCTTTGTATGTCGATATAACTAAGACCATAGTGAAAGAAAATGAAGACCCAATCGAAACCCAGCATCAAAAGACTTTTATAGGTATGCTTATATTATTATTCCCAGTATGAATTGTAATATTTGTTTTATCTACATGAAATTTGTTTTTTTTTTTTTCCAGGAAAAATCCCAATCATGTTGCGATCCACATACTGTCTCCTGAATGGTTTCACTGATCGTGATCTTACTGAAGTAAGCGAGTGCCCTTTAGACCCTGGTGGCTACTTTATCATTAACGGTTCAGAAAAGGTACAATTTTAGAAAAAAAAATACATAACATTTTTTGTTTTATAAAAATTTTTCCATAGGTGTTGATCGCTCAAGAAAAAATGGCAACAAACACTGTATATGTATTCAGTATGAAAGATGGAAAATTTGCTTACAAAGCAGAGATCAGGTCTTGTTTAGAACATTCGTCAAGGCCTACATCTACTCTGTGGGTTAACATGATGGCAAGAGGAGGACAGGTAATAATTATTTTAAATTTTATTTGTTAAATATGAGCTCATGTTATGATTTATTTATTTATTTTTAAAGAGCATCAAGAAGTCTGCTATTGGTCAGCGTATTATTGCCGTGTTGCCTTATATTAGGCAAGAAATTCCAATTATGATTGTATTCAGAGCGCTCGGGTTTGTTGCCGACAGAGATATACTCGAGCATATAATTTATGATTTTGATGATCCTGAAATGATGGAGATGGTCAAGCCGTCACTCGATGAGGCCTTTGTCATCCAAGAGCAAAACGTTGCTCTCAGCTTCATTGGAACAAGAGGTGCCAGAGCGGGTATCCCAAAAGAAAAGAGAGTCAAATATGCCAGGGAAATTTTACAGAAAGAAATGCTGCCTCACGTTGGTGTCTCTGATTTCTGCGAGACCAAAAAGGCTTACTTTTTAGGGTTGGTCATAAATTTTTTTTAAACTGATTTGAAAAATGAAAAATAACAATTGACTAATTTTATATTTAATCTGGTAGCTATATGGTACATAGGCTTTTATTAGCTGCCTTGGGACGAAGAGAGTTGGATGATAGGGATCACTATGGCAACAAACGTCTTGACCTTGCTGGACCTTTGCTAGCGTTTTTGTTTAGAGGGTGCGCACAAATTAAAGATTTGTTGAAATTTATTCAATTAATTTATTGCTTTTAAATTTTACAGTTTGTTTAAAAATCTAATGAAGGAAGTAAGAATGTACGCTCAGAAATTTATCGACAGAGGGAAAGATTTCAACCTGGAACTTGCGATCAAAACCAAGATTATCACCGACGGACTCAGATATTCTTTGGCAACAGGAAATTGGGGAGATCAGAAAAAGGCCCATCAAGCCAGAGCTGGTGTTTCTCAGGTAGGCTTACAAGCATTTGTTATTCAAGATGTATTAAATTATTAAACATGTATTATTTTAGGTGTTGAACAGATTGACTTTTGCTTCCACTTTGTCCCATTTGAGACGTGTAAATTCTCCAATTGGCCGAGATGGTAAATTGGCCAAACCACGACAATTGCACAATACTCTGTGGGGTAGGTTTAATAAATGTTACTCATACTCAAATTTAAACATACATTTTCTTTAGTAGTGAAAATGAATTTTAACGTCTATTTTTTACTATTATTTATTTTGTTACAATCAGGTATGATATGCCCTGCTGAGACTCCAGAAGGTGCAGCTGTAGGGCTTGTGAAAAACCTTGCCCTTATGGCGTACATATCTGTCGGATCCCAGCCCTCCCCCATTCTTGAGTTCTTGGAAGAGTGGTCCATGGAGAACTTGGAAGAAATCGCCCCATCTGCAATTGCCGATGCTACAAAAATCTTTGTGAACGGATGTTGGGTCGGAATCCACAGGGACCCAGAACAGTTGATGGGGACCCTTCGCAAACTAAGACGTCAGATGGACATCATTGTGTCTGAAGTAAGTTCATTGAAATTGCTCTAAGGAAATTTATAAATTCAAAATAATTAATGATTATCAATTAGGTATCAATTATTCGAGATATTAGGGATCGAGAAATTAAGATTTACACTGATGCTGGTCGGATCTGTCGACCATTGCTAATTGTTGAGAAAGGATCACTTCTTCTCAAAAAAAGGCACATTGAAAATCTTAAAGAAAGGGATTACAACAATTACGGGTAAATTTTTTTTCCCTTTTATACCTGTGTTTAATATTGTTAGCTAGTCTTAATATTTTTTGTTTGTTTTATAAGATGGCAAGTGCTAGTATCAAGTGGTGTCGTTGAGTACATTGACACTTTGGAGGAAGAAACAACCATGATTGCTATTTCTCCAGAAGATTTAAGGCAAGACAAAGAGTTCGCTTATTGTAATACGTACACTCATTGTGAAATCCACCCAGCAATGATACTCGGAGTTTGCGCATCCATCATACCATTCCCTGATCACAACCAGAGCCCTAGGAATACATACCAAGTAAGTTCTTTTTTCTTTTGCATTTGAATGCGTTTGTCAATTTTGAAATATTTCAGAGTGCTATGGGAAAGCAAGCCATGGGAGTTTACATTACAAATTTTCACGTCCGGATGGACACTTTGGCCCACGTACTTTATTATCCACATAAGCCTCTTGTGACTACGAGGTCGATGGAGTACCTCAGATTTAGAGAACTCCCAGCTGGGATCAATAGCGTCGTTGCGATCGCATGCTACACGGGTTATAACCAGGAAGATTCTGTCATCTTGAATGCTTCAGCTGTGGAGCGAGGATTCTTTAGGTCGGTCTTCTTCCGTTCTTATAAAGATTCAGAATCAAAAAGGATAGGTGATCAGGAGGAACAATTCGAAAAGCCTCAACGGCAAACATGTCAAGTAGGTTTTTAAGTTCAATTTATTAAAATTATTGCATAATAGATGTCTCGTTATTTGTAATATTCTAGGGTATGAGAAATGCCATGTATGACAAGCTGGATGATGATGGAATCATCGCTCCAGGTCTCAGAGTGTCAGGTGATGATGTAGTCATTGGAAAAACGATGACTCTCCCTGAAAATGATGACGAGGTATTTTTAATTTATGTGAGAAAATGAATTCTAAAAATAAGAAAAATTATAAAATTTATTTTGTAGTTGGAAGGAACAACAAAAAAATTCACAAAAAGAGACGCTTCTACATTTCTTCGTAACTCTGAGACTGGAATTGTTGACCAAGTTATGCTGACGCTGAATGCTGAAGGATACAGGTTCTGCAAGATAAGAGTGAGGTCTGTGAGAATACCACAGATTGGTGACAAATTTGCCTCAAGGCACGGGCAAAAAGGAACTTGCGGAATCCAATACAGACAAGAAGTGAGATTAATATTTATATATTTTTTAAATAAATCAATTATAAGAAGTATTATAATATAAAATAAACAATTTTTCAATTGAATTTTATTGTTATAGGATATGCCATTTACTTGTGAAGGAATATCACCTGATATCATCATCAATCCTCATGCTATTCCATCTCGTATGACAATTGGTCACTTGATCGAGTGCCTCCAAGGCAAAGTAAGTCCTTTTTTAAAATATAATTTCAGATACTTGTACTAATGTAATTTTTGCTTAGGTTTCTTCAAACAAAGGTGAAATCGGTGATGCTACGCCTTTCAACGATGCTGTCAACGTGCAAAAAATCTCTACTCTGCTCCAGGAATACGGTTATCAGCTAAGAGGAAATGAAGTAATGTATAATGGGTTTTCCGGAAGAAAAATCAATGCCCAGATTTTTATTGGTAAGTTAAGTTTTGTAATTTTCATTGTGTCGTTTGTTCACGCTAGACTTGTTTTAGGCCCGACATATTATCAAAGGTTGAAACACATGGTGGATGACAAAATTCATTCTAGAGCAAGAGGCCCTGTGCAAATCCTCGTTCGGCAGCCTATGGAAGGAAGAGCGAGGTAATTACTCTCTATTTTTTATGTTTAATTGATGATGAACTTTATTTTAAATTTATATTTCCAACAAATTAGGGATGGTGGCTTGCGGTTTGGAGAGATGGAACGGGATTGCCAAATATCTCACGGCGCAGCTCAATTTTTGAGAGAGAGGCTTTTTGAAGTGTCCGACCCTTACAGGATCCACGTGTGTAACCTCTGCGGATTGATTGCTATTGCCAACACAAGAAACAACACCTTTGAATGCAAAGGATGCAAAAACAAAACTCAAGTAAGTCGAAAAACTTGTATTAAAACAAATTTATTCATTCCTTTATACCATACTTTTGCAATTTTGTTTTTATGGAACCAAAAAATTAACAGATTGTTTATCAGTTGCATTATTGATGGTCATTTCTATAAATTGTACGTAATTTCATTGTGATATTTCAAAATCTAAGATTAAACAGTGGCATGTACATTTTGAACCACAAATACCACAGAAAAATATAGTGGTAAAATGCCAACTACTTACTTAATTTTCTATAATTGAATTGATTAGTCGAAATGCTAAATGAAATAGTTTGCTGTTAATTTTTTAAAATTTAGTTTGTTTGGCATATTAGAGTAGATTAAATTAAAGTAGTAGTTGGTGTTTCTGGATCCTCCTCAGACTGCTGACAATCTTCCTAGTAGCTGAATCTGGTCACCCCGAGTGCAAAAAAAAAAAACAATTTCCTTCTTATTTTTCACTTGCAATATTGGTCTATTTACGACCTATGCACCACAACCAGTATTGGACTATTGTGCATCTCCATTGTTGTCTAGAATGCCCCAGTAAAGCCTAAGGCTTTTTACCAGATCCTAAAAAATTTTCAAGGACCCTTGTGTATCTTTCAGGCTTGGGCTTTTCCTCTCCCAGGTGGAAGATTGATGAACCAACAGACATTTTCCACTGTCTCGTCTTCTTCCTGGCAATATCTGCACAGGTTTATGCCACTCTGAGTGCAGTGTTCAATTAGTAATCTGACTATCATTCTAGTTCTAAAACATCTGAGATTTAGATCTATTGTTAATTTCTACAATGGTCCTTCGATGAATTTTTTCACGTACCTCTATCTGGGGCTACTTCCCTGCTATATATATTGCAGGGTGGACGAAGCTTCTTACTCTACTAAAACTGTAGTTCCAATAATTTTGACTTGTTCATCTTCCTGTTTTGATGTGTTAAATGTGCTTTTGGCTTGTTGTCATCTTCAGTGGTTGCATGTGTGGCAGACCAAAATGATAGAAAACAATCAAACTACACGTTCATCATTCCGCCTCTTACAATTAAGTTAAAAACTTAGCAATTTAAAATAAAATCTTTGTTCTTTAAGAATCAATCATTATGTAGTATTTTGGAAGAGAGAGAGAGAAAATCAATGTTGGTTCTGTAGTTTCTTTATACTACAGCCCAATTTTGATTATATTATTCCTTTTTATTTACCCAATAATTTAAACAGGCAACTAAGGATCGACATTTAAAAATATTTGAAACCCCTTTGTTTTATCCAAAACACACTGATTCAAATACAGAATTAATTTTCTTAATTAACTTGATTAAATTTTCAACTCAGTTTATCAGATTGATATTTTCAGCATTTTCTAGAAACACCTCATTGCCGATAAATCTCATGGTTCAATATCAATTTTTATCTTCATATTGTTCAAGAAATGATAACCCCTTATACATTTATCCTCACTGTTGAGCTCCCGTTAACAATTCAACAAATTAGGAAAGATTGGCAAACCAACAACTGTGTTTAGGCAATCAGGAATTTTATTAATTAAAAAAAAATTAAACTTAAAACCAAGTCTACTTTATTTATAAATTTTTTGATAAGTTTGCTTGTTTTTCTTTAGACTTCAATGCTTTTATCTTCTAGAAATATTTCACATGCGGTGTATAATTTTTGAGTTATATATTAATTTGTGAAGAATTTATTGGGTTAATCCTGTGTGACTTGTCAAATCTCTCAATTATCCCTCAAAATATTAGTATTATCCCTAGTTTTATTCCAAATTAAATAATTAATAAGATGAGAAGCAATATACTACTGGATGCTTGTACTCATCCACCAGAGTTTCCAAGGCGTAGGTCGTAATAATTCAATTGGGCCGAAGGTTGCCACTTCTGTCAGATCCATCACGTAGCTCGTCATTAAACACAATTTTTCCAGGATCAACTTACATTATACGCAATTGTCTGATAGAGGGGAAAAGGCCAATTACACTTCGTTACTTACATGCCTAGGAAATGTCGACCAATTGTCTCCCCTTGTGTATTTTCAACTGTTCTTCATCTCTGCTCTTCCGTTAAGGGACAGTAAGAAGTCTCTCCTTTCTATCAACACCCTACTAATCACTTTTTTTATTAATTGATTATACTACTTACCTATTTGATCAACTCAGTTGTTATACTTAATAGTGTTAATTTTTTTCCTTTTAATGGCAATTTTTTTTACAACTTTTACAATCAGACGACTCCTTCCCAACATTTTGGTTTTGATAGATTAGTGGATTTTGAACCTTATCTGTTTATTTATTTATTTTTTTTTGCATGCCAGTTAGTTCTTTTTGTTCAGACTACCAGTCAACGGTAAAGAAAAAAATATTTTATAAGTTTAGTTTAATTATATAATTTATTTTTTACTTAAATTTTGTGTCTTCTGTTTTGCAGATATCTCAAGTGAGGCTTCCATATGCAGCGAAACTTCTTTTCCAAGAACTGATGTCCATGAATATCGCACCGCGACTCATGGTTGTCTAAGTGTTTTATGTGATCCTTTATTTTTTTATGTTTTCTCCGTGTAATTATTATATTTTAGAGTTAATAAATGAATGGTGTTTCTTAAATTGAACAAATCGTTTATTTATTTATATTTTGATAACTTTACCACAAAACTATTTGATAGAAGCATACAAATTATATTTTACACACAAGACACAATTTTATTTATTAGCACTGCACATGTTTGTCAACTCGGACAAAGCTCCATGATGGGGCGGGTGTGTGGATTTGGCCACAAAGTTAAGCACTTGAGCAGCAGGAACGTTTCTTAAACTTCCAAATGCAATCTCCTGCGGCACTAGTACTTAGACTCATGACCACTCCATCGCTATCTTGGAACCTCGGAGGTCGGAGGTGCCTGGAAAAATAAAAAAAATATCTGATACAAGGACAAGAAATGTGTATTTTCGATAAAAGGAAATGTTCTGGATTTGATAACAATTGTAATTTAAACTTCATTTATTCATTCTTAATTTTCAGACAATATAAACAGTTAACAATAATTTCTAAAACTTGGCGGCATAGCTAAAAACTAAAAAACAAGGCTAATAGTGTTTAGTTAAAATCAGTAAAAATAGAACTATTTAGAAGTAACCTTAAAAAAAACTTTATAATTCTCTATAATAGAGTAATAGAATGTGTAATATTGCACATTGGCAATACAAGATATTTTTGCAGGAAGATAATCAGCTTCCGTGAGACTATCTTTTATACTACTATATGTCTTTATTGTTTAATATATATACAAAGTTTACAGATCGGCAGTATATATTACAGAGCAAGAAAGACGATCCTCATGGTTTAAAACCGTCTGAGGGACTATCCTTTATTTTTAAAAAAATCTGACAAAACAGTTGCAATGATTATTGATTATACTAAAGATTTAGTGAGAGATTGTTGTAAGCTTGTAAATAATTTCTTTGTTTTTGGTTCTTAAAGAAATTCTTTACTTTGAGTGTATTTCTATGATAGAGTGGTGGAAAACGCTTATCAAGAAGGATATACAGAAATGCAATATATTATTTACAATCTTATCATGATTTATTTATCACATAAATGCATAAATAAACCAGGAAACAGATTATTTTGTTCAGTGTTGAAAATTAAAAAAAAAATCAAACGAACAGTAATCATTCATCTATTGATCTATCTATATATTTACCTCCCTTTTACACTTTGATTTATTTTTATCCACACCATTGATATAACAACTAGTGCATTTCCACAGGTATATTTCTCTCTCTCTCCATCCCTCCCTCTCTCTCTCTCTCTCTCTCTCTCTCTCTCTCTCTCTCTCTCTCTCCCTTTCTTACTCTCTCTCTCTCTCTCACACACCCTCTCTCTCTTTTCTCACTACCTATCTACTATAGATATGTATATTATGTATACTATACTATATATATGTTTGTTTTTTAATGTTTCTATCTTTTTCAACTCATTCTGTTGTATCTCTAAATATCTATTAATATATCAATCTGTTAATCCATTTATCTATATCTATCTTCCTCTCACATATACTCTGTTTCATCTTTTTTTACGCCAGTGATGAATTGATGAAAAAAATATTCTACTGAATTTGAAAAGATATAGATCGATATCTCTCTCTCTACATCTCTCTTTCTCTCTCTCTCTCTCTCTCTCCTCTCTCTCTCTCTCTCTCTCTCTCTCTCTCTCTTTCTCTCTCTCTCTCCCCTCACACACTCATTTACACTCTCTCTTTCGGTATCAACTCGTGCATTCTGATATTTTATATTAGTATTATTTATATTTCACTCAAAACGTGATATAATGATAAGACACACTTGTCATATTCATATAAATATGGGAAGCTTTTTTTAGATCTTTTATAATTTTTTCTTTTGTCTTTCTTTTTTGTCTTTTTTTAATGGCAGGCAATTGTTTCTAGTTTAAAAATTTAAGATGGGGTTTGTAAATGTGAGTGGGCATGGCTCGTTTTAGGTGATGTGTTCTCGTCAGCCCATTTGACTTCTGACCTCCGCTCTCCATCTCTGATCTTTATGACCTCGGAACGTTGAGTAAAGTGATTAGAATTTCTTTTAAAATATAAAACTAGCGAGTTTCAAACGGTCTACGAGTCGATTCATACCCGGGAGACCGTATAGTGTTGAAAAATTATCTACTTAAACGATAACGGAAGCATGCTTTTATCTAGCCACTATCCACTTTTTTCGGGGTCTTAGGAAGATAAAATGACGTTTAAACAAGGGTCCTGTCTATAAAAATACTCAGCGATTCTATTTACCAAAAGTCCTATCAACTTATAAATAAAATCGTCAACTTGGAAATACTAATTAATAGTAATTTCAATACTTGAGATGTAATTTTCTCGGCAGGAAACGAGCCTATATTTAATTACGTAGCACGGTCCAGCGATTTAAATGAGTTTATCTTATTTTATTACAGATCAATCTCGATCGACAAAACTGTTCATTGGTTAGGATTTAATTGTAGATTTTAAAAAAATTCTAATCATGGACAGTAGCTTGAAGTTGTCAGTCATCTTAGAGAAGATCTAGGTTGTTTTAATTATCTGTCAGTCGATTTATGATTAAATCTTAAACGCTTCGTTCATAATAGATCATATTTCAATGATTACTATGATTAGAGCCAAATGGTTAGTCAGGCATAGTTTTTTAAAGAGAGCGATCGGCCTATTTTTTACTGTTTCTTTGTCCATATGTGATCTTTGATTGGTCTATAGTCTATATTGCCAGTCTTATTTTTAACGCCCTGTAGCATAGGTGATGGTATTTTTCTTTTTCAGACGAGGTAAAAAGAAATAAGCGTAAGTTTAAATCATCACATTGATTTAACTCACATTTAAGTCATAAAGCGCATGCAGCCCTGATGAATTGTAATTGCAAGTCTTCCCCTCCAGACTGGCGAAGGTCTATTATTAATTCGCCCACTTCCTCATTCGGCGTACTGAGTAATCTAAAGCTTCCTCGTCGCACAACCGGCCTTGCAATTGCACCATTTGTCTAAAACACTAAAAAAGAGAAGAAAAAAAACCTAGACAAGGGAAAAATCGTACCCAGGCATGGCCACTTTTGAACAGGGCGTTGCCATATTTGTTAAGAACCACTTCGGACAGAGTTTACTTTATGTGGATCGTGATTTTGAAGAAACAAGGCCGCTTCGCGAGTTCAAACAATCGGACGTTTGTTCGTGAGGAAAAAAATTGTCTGCTCCCTGGAGAAGGGTCAGTATCGAGTAGAAGGAACAAGCACTTCTTGTTTGTCCTACGTTAAAAAAACGTAAGTTTCTCAAAGAAAGAAATATAATCACGAATAAAATTTCACGAGGTTTTACCACCCAAATAACTTAACATAATCTGTATAACAGTCAATGTAAATAAGAGCCAAACATGAAAAAGTCGGTAATTAAAGTCTCCAAGCTCATCTCTTTCTTGCTCGAAACATCCGCGTAAATAGTATCTACAAGAAATTCTCAAATAAAGTACATCATCATCTTTGTATTATTACAAAATTTTGGCATTTGAAATAACAAGATGAAATATTCAAAAGTCAAATCTTTATCAGGTCTCATCAAACGTTTTGCATTTTTGTACATATTTTCCCACTAAGTTTTTTTCTCTATGAAACATTGTTTGTAAACATGTATGCCAAGAACATATATAAAAAAAACTGATTTTAAAGAAAATTTTTTGAGACTCATTAAACAATATTCTGTAACGCTTGCTACCATGGCGACTTATTCTAAGAAAAATTTATCGAAAGAAAACTAAATTGTAAGTAGTAAATTTTGATAATTAGCAATGGAACTTAACTACTTAAGTCTTATTAATAGAAATCCTCATATTGATCAAGTTGTCTTAAGATATTCACGTGTTTTTTTAAGGCAATAACAACCAACTATAAAATCTATAATTCTGACCATTTCCAAAAGTGTTTCCTGGACATTTTTGATGTACGATTTACGAATTTCTAAGCTGAATGTTGGCCAGTCGTAGGAAAAATATCAAGAATGTTGGTTTAAAATGTGTCCGATTGAGTAGTTTTAGCAAAAATTTTAGACTTCCACCCTCCAAATCTTTAAATTTAAGCCTGTAAACGGGACATTAATCAGATCATCTATACAAAAAAGGTGTGTCGCCAAATTGACAATGAAGTTTTTAGTCTTACTTTTTAACATTTCTATTAAAGTAGAAAATTGCCGCCAAAGAGTGTCAAAGAAATACATTTTTTCTTCGTGGGCTGTTTCCCTTTACAACGAAACTCATTGTTGTTATTGTTTTTATTGTTATTGTATTGTATTTGTTAATAATAATAATTAATAAATACAAATTAAATTAATCAATAAATGCTGTTTCTGGTATAAGTGTTGAGGAGAAGAAATTGTTTCTGCTATGGACCAGAAATACACAGTTGTGGTGTGACCAAGTTAATTTGTACGATCTTTACCATAAGCATTTTTATTATATATTTAAATAAATTATATTAACAATGTTCATCTTGGTAGACCCACAGATCAGTGAAAAATCATTCACATTTTATGTCATCCAGATTGATGAATTTTCCAATGAATCATCAATCGACCAGTCAGGACGGTTTTCTTTTCAAATCGACCAAAATTTTTCATCGTTGATAATCTACATTTCGATCTGGAAAAAAGGGGATCAGAAGAATTTAAATCCGTCTCATCTTGGCCATGTTGTGAACGGAAACATCAGGGGACAGGCTGGTGAATTTTCGACAGAACCATCAATCAGTTCTAGGAAAAATTCCGAGAATCTTTGCTTGAAATCTGCCCAATGAAGTGGTTTTAGGAAAATTTTAGACCTGGACCATTTTAAACTTTAAAAGCCTGCAAGCATGAAAGCATATCATATCCATACAAAAAGCATACAACCCTAATTAACACATTAATTAAAAAAGTAGAAAAATGACTTAAAATAGCGTCAGGAATTTTTTTCCTTCGCAGGCTGTTGCTCTTTAAAATGTAAATAGCAATGAATAAACTTAATGTTTAATGACTTAGAACGGGGAAAATTTTAAAATTTTACGTCGCCCAGGCGGATGAATCTTCCATTGAATCATCAATCCTGTTCTAGGAAAAGTCTATAGAATGTTTATGTAAAATGTGCCCAATTAAATGGTTTTATGAAAATTTTAGATTTGGGCTCTTTACAACATTGCATTTCAGCATATAAGTTAGAAATTAAGCATACCAGATCTACACAAAAATCACATAACAATTTTTTAACCCTTTAATTTAAAAAAGTAGAAAAATGTCTTCAAATAGTGTCAGGAAACAATATTGTTCCCTTTTGTTTATTTTTAAAATGACATATGTTGTTAATAATTATAAAATAGAAAATTAATTATTAATTAATGTTTCCAATATAACCTTTGGGAGAAAAAAATTCTCCAGTGGAACATTTTGATGTCTTGACGAGCAAGTGACAACCTTTGTTACGTAACTTACTAAATAAAATACATTATTTGTATATAAATATCAAAATAGATTGAATTTTGATCAATGAATATACAATGGACGGACGGTTAAAGCAGTTGTCAAGTTTTAACGATTTCGAACAGAGAATATCATTCACATTTTACTTCATCCAGGATGATGAATCTTCGAACCAGTCAGAAGAGGTTTTCAGTTCAAATTGACCAAAATTCAATCTCCGTTTCGATCCGGAAAAAAAGATGGGAATCAGAAGAATTTAAATCCCTCTCATCTTCGACATGTTGTGAAAAGAAACATCTTTGGGGAGAAGAACCGAGTGAATTATTAGCAAAGGGTCATTGAATCAAAACGGGAATCGGGTCACTGTATATTTTCGCTTTAATTCCTCAGTCATGTTTGATTTTATGGCATTCATTGGGAAGATACAATAGCGCTGATTACCACTGATGATGTACTGTTGAAAATTTAGAACTAAAAACCAAGAATCGGACGTTGCCTTAAAAACCTCAGTGAGTACATCACTAATATGTATATTTTAATATAAAAAATAAATTGGAATTTTTTAAAATAATTCTTTCTATAAGCCAAATTGTTTTATGCATAGTTATAATTGATAAAAACTTGAAACGAATAGGACGTGATGTATGTAAATTTAACTATGTTGTTTACATACATAGCTGAAAAGAATTTGGATCTAAAAGTTTATAAGTTTTATTAAAACCTAATCGAAGTTATAAGACTTAAAACCCAAGAAACTATATAGACTTAAGCATTATTTTTTAACAAGCAAGATTAATTAAGTTAAATTGCAAATAATGATGCTTTATTGAATTATTAAAAAGCGAAAAAACTTGACCCTATTTTAATTTTAAACTTTACCACGATTTTGTTTATGTATTTTAAGTCAGTTCAAAAATTTTATCTTGCTAATTTTATAAGGATCTCTGAGCTTGGAGAACTTCTAAATAGGCTGACGAGTTAATAGGGGTTTAATGTTCCTGTAATTATCTATTGTAATTTTTTTTTCAAAAAAATTGTTCACACATTGACGAAAGACTTGTTTATTTATGGAATAGAGCGATTATTTAGTAATAAGTGTTTCCGTTCGAAAATTTCGGCTTTTTAATTCTATTTAAATCTACAATGTTCAGAAGAATCCCTTTGTAAATGTCTAAATTTGAACAATAAAAGTGGACGTTTTGATCTAGGAAAATGAAACTTCGCTATGGGTTTGACTGGAAAAGACAAAAAAACCCTAAGAACCTCTGTGTTTTTATTGTAAGCTGCGCTTTTCCACAGCCTTTTATTCGACAGTTACTGTTTAATTTTCTTATTTTCAAAAAAAAAAAAAAAATCAGCCGTGAAAAATTGGCAACGAAAGGTTGAAAATATACAAGTACTTAATACGATTTTGTTTTGTTTTTCTCGCCAAAGCCAATGATGTTCAAACGAGCAGGAATAAAAATGGTAAAGATCTAAAACAAAATAGCTATTTTCTGTCTAGAAAAAAATTAGAATATAAATGTTTTACAAATAAATATGCAAAAAGCTAAAACTGATTTTTTTTCTTAATTATAAATTGAATTCATAATGATCGAAATGTGGGTCATTTAAAAGGCACAATTCCTTACTGTTTATTTAATAAATAATTAATTAAGGCTTTTTTCTTTTCTTCTGTTCGTAATGTGCTAAATGAAATTAGCAGATTTAAAAAATATGAACCGACCTATTGTTTTTTTTAAAAGTGTATATAAAATTTTCGTGTTTTGTATATGTCATCTCACCTTAAGAAATCAGTAATTTTTCAGGTTCCTAGTTCGTTAAGGGATAGACGAAAATGACGAAAAAAGTGTAAATCAGGCACCTTCCTTTGTGTCAAATTGTCCACTGGAATCCACAACGAAAACACTTTTCTCTCGGGTCGCAGAGGTGGAACTCGCGGGAACACAACTCGTGCCAGCAGTTATTTGAAGGCGTTGCTTACCTGTTGCTGGTCGGAGGGAGCGTCCGGAGGGCAGCCGGTGCGGGAGACGACTGAGGGCATGGAGTCGGTTTAACTAGCTTAATATACGTCAGTTAAAAAACCTAAGAGCAATTTACATTGGAGGGAAGAGGTCATTTAAGCAATGGCCGGTCCCCCTTGGTTGTACAGTCTGTTCAACTGGCAACTCGTTTTATTCCACCCACCCGCATTCTGTCAACATGTGCTTCACGCCTCCGGGCACGTTGATCACGAACTGTCTCATCCTTAATGGCCAAAAATCAAAATCACACAAAAAATAACCCTTGGAACTAAAAATAAAAAAAAAACCGAAAAAATTAACGTGTGTTGTTCCAATAAGTCGATTTTGCAAATTAGATTATCAACCTTTAGACCGACTATAACTTGAGACCATCAATAATGATCATGCGAAGGATTTTCCAGCAAACCATCGAGTATTTTCAAAAATACTCAACTTTTGAGAAGTCGGAAAACGTTTCCAATGATATCAGGTTCTATACTATCTACATTCCCAGTCTCTTTATCAATGACTTTTCTATCTGATTTATCAACGATTTGATCACAAAATTTTTCACCGTCATTGCCAAGCTCTTTGCGTATGAATTGCCTACCAAAGGCTTTACCAGAGTCTTTTGCAGTAATATTACGAGCGTTTTTACCAATGACTTTTCTATTTACTTTTCCAATGACTTGAACATAAAATGTTTTTTTGACATTACCAAGGTAAATACTTCCCCATTGTCTTTACCTATGACTTTTCTATCTATTTTACCAGTGACTTGATTATAGAATTTTTCAGCATCGATACCGAGCTCTTCGTTAATGAATTGCCTACGACTATAAAAGACTTTTGCAGTGACATTACCAGTGTCTTTATTACTGACTTGATCACAAAAATTTTTAGTGACATTTCCAAGGTCTTTAATAACTTTTTCCCAGTGGCATTACCAATGACTGGATCAAAGAATTTTTCAGCACCATTACCAAACTCTTTGCCAATGAACTGCCCAGGTACTTTACCTATGACTTTCAAAGATTTTTTTCTTCTATTGAACCAGCGATCTTACCAGATTTTTAAGCAATATAACCTGTGCTTTAACCAACGACGTCACCAATGACTATATCAAAGACTTTTTCTGCTACTTTACCAATGACTTTAACAGTGTCTTTTGCAGAGACCTTGCCAGGGTCTTTACCAGCGTCTTTCCCAGAGTCTGTACCAATTACAATTATTGTTGAATCTTCTAGTTATTTTCCAACAACTGCATCTGATTTTTTCAGCGTATTACTTACCAGGATGTTTTCCTATGATGTTTACCAATGACTGAATCAGAGAATTCCAATGATATTATCAGGGTTTTTATTAATTACTTTTCCAGTATGTTTACCAATGACTTAATCATAGAATTTTTTAGCAACATTACTGCGTTCTTTACCACTTACTTTCCCAGTGGGTTTACCAATGATTTTTCTATCTGGTTTAGCAAAGACTACATCAGAAATCGTTTATCGACATTAACATGATCTTTTCCTTTGATTTCCTCCGGGACTTTATTAATGACTTGATTATTGATTTTTTAACAACATTACCAGGGTCTTTAATGATTACTTTCCCAGTGTCTTTACCATTACTTTTCTATCTACTTTACAAATAACTTTATCACAGAATTTTTCCGCATCATTGTCAAGGTCTTTACTGATGAATTGCCTGGGGACTTTACCTTTGACTATAAGATCATTTCTGTTCTATTTTACCAGCGATTTTCCAGATTTTTAAGCGATATAACCCCGGGCTTAAACAACGACGTCACCAATGACTATATCAAAGATTTTTTCTGCTACTTCACCAATGACTTTAACAGTGTCTTTTGCATCGACCTTGCTAGGGTCTTTTCCAGCGACTTTACCAGAGTCTATGCCAATGACAGTTATAGTTGAATCTACGAGCTACTTTCCAACAACTACATATGTTTTTTCCAGCGTATTACCCCTTGCCCTATGATTTTCTCAGGGATTTTACGAATGACGAATCGGAGAATTTTCCAACAATACTATCCAGGTCTTATTAATTATTATCCCGGTGTCTTTACCCATGACTTGACATGGAATTTTGACCTATAATAATTATTTTCCCAGTTTCTTGAAAATGACTATCTGATTTTTTCAGCAATATTATCTAGGTCTTTCAATGACTGACTGTATCAGTGACTTTTGCAGTGACATTATCAGAGTCTTTAGCAACGTCTTAAATGAATTCTTCGGATTTTTGTATAAATATTACCTGAATCTTTACCAACGCCTTTCGCAGTGTCTTTACCAATTAAATGACTTTATGAAAGCCCTTTTCAGCTAACATAGACTTACTACTTTACCAATGACTTCATTAGATTTTTTTCAGCGATATTACCGTATCAGTAGTATCAGCAATTTTTTCAATGACAATACCAAAGTCTATAGTAACGTCTGTATTAGAGGGATAGGGATAAAAGAGGCGGTCACAAGGCCTTCTGCACCTCGACATGAGTAGATCTAGTGTGCTCCCCCTGTTTTTTTTATAACACACTGGCCAGCTTCAAGTTGTTAATTACCATAGTCCTCCCATAGTCTCGCTAGCGGCTGCTTAGTGTAGGATCTTGTGGTTTTCCCTGTCGTAGCAAGAACTTGCACCTACATTCAGTATAAGAGTCTTATTCTGCTATTTTACCAACGACTTTATCAGGGACTTTCATGAACATCTATTCAAGAACTTCGCCAGATCCCAGTCGGAGGCGTTATAGAAGCGGATAATATTTACAAAAGGAATTTTCTTAAAATTTTACTCGCGAATTTTTTGTCAACTTGTCTATGGCATTTTACAGCAACTTTATTAGTAAGTATACATCAACATCGTTTTTACAGGCTGGAGGATCTACTTTAGTAAAAAACTCTCGACTGACTTAACGGTCGATTTTAACAAATAATTTAACACCGAATTGCACACAGTACCATAGAAAAACTTTATAATCGATCATATTAGCAATTTTATAATTAAACTAAGTAATAATATTTTTTTTAAATGAGAAGAAATTAAATCTGAACGAGATTTTCAACATTTCATGCCAGTGTAAATAAAAATATGTTTTTCTAAGGCTATCATTTATTTATATTTATTTATACTTTATCAATCGACATTAAAATAACCCATAATTTAAACTATTTTAAAAATTATTAGAGATTTTCCCTGGATTTATTTTTGGGACAGAATTATTTCGAGAGGGATGAGACTTACCTGGGATTTGATTAATGGATGATCTTCATTTGTCTTATCTCTTGGTGTTGAGATTTTAGTGAGAGGAAAACGAGCGTATGATTGTCGACATCGACTGTCGAAAGCTATCACACCAAGATCATTCTTATGATTTACGACTTGACTATTGTCTTTTATTTTCTACAAATGGATCATAGTTTAAACAGAAATAATTTAAATAAAATTACTTGAACTATCCAACAAACTAGTCGATTGTACAGCAATTGGTTATAATAGGACGAACAAAATGTCGTCTAATAAAAATCATATATAAATTAATTATTTTTTTCTTAATGAAAAGAACCTCCCATTTAAAAAATATTACGCCTCGTTCAAGTGGAAGTACGCATTTATTTTATGTATATATTTCATCGTAGTGAAAGATTTAAGAGGTAATTTGAAACTGTTGTAAACATGTTTTTCTTTATTGGGTAATCAGCCTAGTTCCAAATACCATTCTCGATTATTTTTGACTTTCCAACACTTTTCTTATTTTTTCCATTTAAAGAAGTTTAATAACGCATTTTTAAAGTTTAATATAGTAAATTATATTTGTGTGCGAGAGGAATTTGAAGTACGCTGAGGACTTCAGACCTTTAGGAACAATCCAGTATAGTGTCAACATGGTTCATGTTTGTATTTTCTAACTCAGAGACTTTACCTTTGTAAATTGTGACTTTAAATTTATATATTTTTTTATCTGCTAGACGCCTAGACATTTTGACGCTGTTAGCAACTAGGTTAACTACACAATTTATTTAAAGTAGATTTCTGATGCGAACTGAAGCTCTGCGCCTGTCTGTTCATCATATCCGCAATTTTGTCGCCATCCATGACAACCAAAGTTATTTTCAAGTTATTTAATTTAATATTAGGACACTGTCTAATTGTTTCAGCGGTTATATGTCAGAGGTAAATAGTGTTTGATGTTACTTTGCAGAGGGGCCGTTTCTTTTTCTTCTGGATCTGTGAGGTATCAACTGATGAACGGATTCGCTCAGTAATAAAGTCTGTGAAGTTTTTTCTATGCTTCATCCCATTTCGGTTAGATAAAACGAAATTCCAAGGTCCTAAAGGTCCAAGGTCCAAATCCTAAAGGTCTTCTGCTGATAGTAAACGGATGTGTTTTTGAAACTCCTTTTCTATGTATAAAGTACTTAAGACACTTCAGAAGGAAGTAGAGGAAAGTGAAATATTTATTTATTTTTTAAATTATTTTATTGTTAAAACTCATATTGGATTTATTTTTAATGTATCAATGACCGTTTTTGCTCATCCTTCGAGTAAAAAAAATTATTTCTTGAACAAAATGGCGTACTGTAAAATTATACCACCGAACAGATTTTTAGATCGCGATTTTTCACTTTTTCACCTCGTATTATTATTTCTTTATTTTATTACCTTGCTCAATTTGAAAACTATTGAAAATTTCCCACGTGAAATGGCGAACTGTCATTAGTCATTTATCATCCGTCAGTCGGTCGTTAGCCATGTTATCTGAATTAATCTCTCGACAACGTCTGTCACTGTTTAACAAACAGTCCGGTTTTCCGGATTATCCGAAGCCGGCTTAAAGGCTGTACACATTTGAATTGTTAATATTAGCCAAGTATATCCAACATTGATACTTCCTGATTAAAGCTTCCTTTTTGAATTCATTCTATTACCAGCCCCAACAGCTACCCTAGTTAACATTCATAAAAATAAAATAAAAACACAACCTCCCGGTTTTGATTTTGTTTTTCTAATTGGGCTAATGAAACTAAACCTGATTAATTTGGTCCTAAGCATAAATAAACTTTTAACATTTCAAGCTTATCCAAAATTTCTAAAATGTGTGTTAACATTACGAAAATATTTGCCAAAAAATCCAAAATAAAACTAATACCAAGGGCCGATGATTGTTGCATAATTGTGTCTATCTCGTTAATCTGTACTTTCACATTTTTAAAAATCACCCTATCTCAAAATAAGG